AATGGGAACAACCCAAGTGTTATATCCAGTTCACATTTCCAATGTAACTGAGGAAAAATGGACTAAAACACAAGCCCCAAATTCTGGAAAAGTAGTTTTGTATTCATCAGCAATAGATATAAATACAAGGTATTAAGAATGAGTACTTTACCACTTTTACGGTGAGAAAATGTGATGTATTTTTAGGAAGATACACAGGTCCTCAAACAGGGTTGACTTTCAGGGTACCTCATGAAATCACCGTGTAACATGAAAATCCATCATTTACACATCATTTCCAGACAGTTGGGTCTCTCCATTTAACACAAAACATTTTTTTATCTAATAATTTTCATTTATTACATTTGTGTTTTGAAGAGACACGTGTTGTTGTGCATGTTGCGCCCCGCACAGGGACACGCATTCAAGGGACTACCTTTCACATCATGGACCTCAAAGAACTATACGAGGGGGACACCCAAAAAAATGGAATTACCTTCTGGAGAGCAGGCCCCTTGTAGTACAGGTTTCCCCCGGTAGATGTGTGTTCTAGGAATCCATCTAACGCCCGCTGGAGTTGTTGTGAGAGGCAGCGTTCGGCCTCAGTGAACTTTTTTTGAAGACTTTCAACATGTTTGCCCATTTCATGATGAGCGACTTACTGCCCACACTGGGCTGAGTGTTTAGCAGTTTTTCACCAAAAGCAGCATGACCTCCATTCCCCACCCTCCCTAGTCACCCGATCTTGCCCCTGAACAATTTTATTTTGTTTCCCTGGATGAAACAAGGTCCTCAAAGGGAAACATTTTGCTGATGTGGAAGAGGTGAAACAAGAAACAGCAGAAGCACTAAAGGGCATCAAAATCGATGAGTTCAAAAACTGTTTTGACCAGTGGAAAAAAATATTTCAATAGGTGTATTGCAGCAAATGGAGAGGACTTTGAAGGTGACTGAAGTTTAAACATATAAGAATAATTACACTATAGTTTATAAATAAATTCCAGTTTAGGGCAGGAGATGGGATGTCCCCCCTCATGTATTTATTGTGAGCATTTCCAGCAGATGGCAGTAAAGGGTCTGGGTCTGACGAAATCAGATCAAGTGGCCTGAGGAAGGGACACGCCGTACATCCTTTTCTAATTTGCACAAAGGCACCTATGACCTAGCGGTGGCCTTGTTGGCATAAATCTGGAGGAGGACAAAACTGGGGACAGAGAAACCATTTGGACAGCCATTACCATTTCCTGGGCTGGAAGAGAATGGCAACTAGCATGGAGAAGAGGCGCAAAGGTGTGTGAGGCTGATGAGACTGGGAGGCGGGAGGGGAGGGGAGGAAATGACTCCCAGGTGTGTATGTGGATCGAGCCACCAGACCCAAGGGCGATGGGAGGAGCAGGTTTGGGAAGGGGGCTTTCTGGATTTGAAGCGTTTGATCTACCTGTGGAACACTCACGTGAGGAGTCCCAGGTGACATCACTGCAGAGCTGGAGGTGCAAATCTGACCACATGGGCAGGTAGGTGGAAGCTGCAGCCACAAATGGATGTGACTCCTCCCAAAGACCACATGGCCCGAGCAGGGCAAAGGGCCCACACAGATCCCCAGGGCCACTGTCACCTAGTGGGCAAGTGTACAAGCCAAAAGGGGCCAGGGAAGGACACAGACTAGAAGGAGTGGCCACTCCACGCCCTCTGTCCCAACCTCCCATTTAACGTGGTGTTTCCCACGTGCTGGAGCTGGGATTTCTAGTGTTGATTCACACTGAGTACAAAATGAGAAGACGCAGGCTCTTCTAAAATAATGTGCATGGTGAGCTTTCCAACATCCCTTTTGGCTGCAGAAATCATTTTTTTTACTACCAGATACTCAGCTGCATTCCAGATGGTTGCTATTGCTGGAAATGAGACTTCCAAGAAGTGAGAGATTTGCTATGGAAGTCTATAAACTTCCATAGAAGTCTCTCCCATTTAACAGAGCAATGATCTTCCTGCAGAATTTCCCATGAAGCAAATGTGTGCTATATAAATCCAGTTTTCCTACTGATTGCTAATAGAAGGATACTTGTGTTCCCAAAACCAATAGTCACTCAGGAATGTAGCAACTATAACATGGACAAGATGGGAGAACGAATTCTCAGCATTGTAACACTTTTCATTATGGGAATACCATATAAATATTTAACTCTAATGCTTATTTTATAGTACACATGAATGCATTTGTCAGAACAGCATTTGAAAATAATAGTGATGAATGTTATTTCAAACATTTAGATGGTGATGTCTCTGTCCCAAGAAAGGTTCAGACTAAACATTCAGCAGAGAAAATAACTCCTTGGTCTTGATTTTCTACTGTGTATCATTAAGAAGTTTTCCCCTTTACAGAAAAAGAAGAAAAAGAAAGACCTCTACTTCTGCTTTTGCCCTAGAGCACATGATCAAGGCGCGCTTTCTCACACTGGTTTTGGAAGGGGGGACCGGAGCGCAGCTGCACGCGAGTCACCCTGCGCCCTGCTTCGTGCCACCTGCTGAATCGCGCTGCCTTTGCTCTCCTGTGCTGCATTTGATTTCAGCAGGTTTCTCTGTCTGAGAATTTCATATCTGTGCATCTGTCTATCAAGCTGAAAATAACCTGACCTTCAGGGGCTTCTTGAAGGCTCCAAGAATGTAGGGCTTCCCATTAGCCCTGCTTTTCGTGCTGACAGCTAAGTCAATGAACCTGGGAGGATGCTTAACTTCTTCCTCTAAATGCAGGTGACAGAGAAAGGAGAGGGATGGTCCAAGATGGTATATTAAATTTGATTGCTCAGGAGCTTAAAATTGGGAGGCTCCTTGGCCCCTACACCTATTTAGAAAAAAGGGTGAAGGAGTGTACCTTCCTCCCAGGCATGGGGCACTGAGATGGGGAAGTGCAAGAACCTTCTTTTTTTTTTAATCCTCACCCAAGAATATATCCACTGATTTTAGAGGAGAGAGCCATTGATGTGAGAGAGAAACATCGATCAGTTGCCGCCCGCATGTGCCCTGACCGGGGATTGAACCCACATCCTTTTGGTGTACGGGACGATGCTCCAACCATCTGTGCCGCCAGGGCAGGAAACTCTTTTTACTGCACACAGCGGGAAGCTGCACATTTTAACTTGGAGTCATACAGGAGGCTTATTAGTGAAAGCTATATTACTACATTTCTTTTTTCTTTTTAAGAACTACATTTCTTTTTGATGGGTGTACTTTCTAAGATAAAGAAAGGGTTGGGCAGCAGTCTGAATACAACAAATCAGATTATTATATTACTATATGATGATGGCATTAATTTCAAATACTCTGTCTCATTGTCCCAACAGATATGCTCATACTTCTCAAGCTACAGTGCCCACCCCCCAATCTTTGATTCAGAAAACATGACCTCTGTATAAATGAATTGTTGGTAAACACTATTCATTGCTTAATAACCTGTAAAGGATGTTGTGAGATGAATTTGCAGCGATTTAGCGCTTTTCATTATGGAAATGTCACATAAATATTTAACTTTAATGTTTATTTTATTCTAATTTTTGTTAATTACATTTGCTTAGTTAATATGGCATACTTATGCCAAATTTTATTTTATTGCCATAGACTTTATAAATGATAGTGATTTTATGTGCTGTTTTATTTGAAATTAGGTTAATTCTAAAGACATAGAGAATCACCTGTTAATTTGGGGGTTTCAGTATTTGTGCCATTATTACAGCCCATCCCCAACACACACATGCACACACACCTGTGAAAACACGTCACACAACAAATGTATGCACGCATGCCCATACACACAACTCTTTCCTCCATGTATTAGTGAAACAACTCATCGGCTCATTCATACATTTGAAGGCAGACAAGTTTGATTTAGCAGAACATCGTTCTAAAATTGAGGAAGAAGGAAAAATAACAAAATAGGAGGGAGGAGAAAGTATACAGGTGGTATAAAATAATTCTATAGAATTTTGACTCCAAAACTTTGATAGAATGTGATGGAGTTTTAGGAAAATTGCTTTCTATTTACCAAATGACATGTTTGTAAATCTCAGCGCCATGCATAGTTTCTGAGGGCTATGCGGAAAATCCCTGGGCCCCAACATACCTTCCTTCGCAAGTCTCATAGGCATCCTCACTAGGAATTCACCTCTTGGGCTAAGCATTTCTCCATCCCATAGTATAAGTCAGTTCTTCCCATCCACTTTCTTTTAGGACAAGAGGAACCTGGGGCATCAAGTGATGAGGAAACTGAGATTCAGAAAGGGGTCTCAACAAGTACCAAAGACTTTACCTACATCACTATTCTCCTCAGAGATGGTCCTGCTGTCTGTAGGCTAAAAGAGGCTCAGGTCCTATGTTAGGGTTTTGTTTTGGTCAGGATTAACTTCTGCCAACAGTGGCTTAAACAAGAGTCTATTTTCTCTTTCATACAAAAGAAGTCTATAGAACATAGTCCAGATTGGTAAAGAAGCTCCACAGCCATAAGATACCTCAGTTTCTTCTATCTTGTTACTCTATCCTCCACAACTTTCTTCCTCTTGGTCAAAGATGGCTGCTCAAATTCCGGCCATCATGTCCTCAGTCCACCTGTAGAAAAGGAAGAAGTACCATATAACACGACTGTTTGCCTTTCATTAGCTGGAACTTAATCATATGACCACACTTATCAACAAGGGAGGTTGGAAAAAACTGTCTTCATTTCTTCCTATGGATATGGGCTCAGCAAAAAAAAAATCAGAGGTCCATAGACCAAGAAGGATGGGGAGGAATTAATGTTAAAGGATAACTGGAAGACTTTGCCACAGGATCATATATCAGGTCTTGCTAAAATATCTTACTTGTCTGTGACCTGAATTCTTTTCAGCTTTCTGAATTTCTTTCCATGCTCAGACATAAAAATCACAAATGAATAAATGTGATCAAACTCCAAGACCATTCCAAAAAAAAAAAAGGCTTTAGAAAACTCAGACCCCATTCTGTGATTGCCTATTAACTCCTCATTGTAATTTCAGCCGAAATTCTAGAATTGGCCGGCAATGCTGCGAGGGACAACAAGAAGGCCCGGATAGCCCCAAGACACATCCTGTTGGCAGTTGCCAATGACGAGGAGCTCAATCAGGTATGTCTCCAACATGGACACATGCCACCAAATGGGTTTGCCAAACACACTATTGCATGTGGCCATAGCTGGCTACAAATCATTCCTGCTACAGTTCCCAGTCACATTTATATCAAAAAACTTAAATCATAGAAGAACCAATTCTGCTAGCTGTATCATTCAGCTTCAAAATATAATTACCTCTGGAATAGATCCCATTATATATTCTGGGTCTGGTCAAACCTTTTTTCCTCTTTCAAAGCAAGCTCAGTGTGTTGCTAGGGAAGGTGCAGTGCACATATATTACACTTTTCACAGTTTCTTCCCCCAAACTTTGTTGACAGTGTACTCTGGTGAGGGCAGGAGAGCCCTTCTTCATGTATTAGGACTGACATTTTATATTTTAGAACTGACTCCAAAGTGGAGTGATTGCCCCACCCACCCCCAAGGATGTGCAAGGCGGCAAGTTGATAATATAAGAATTTCTGAAAAAGAGGATCCAAGATGGCAGAGGAGTAAGTGGAAGCTACACTGACTTCCTCCCAGGACCAATCTGGAATTATGACTAAATTGTATAGAAATCACCTTGAATAACCAACTGAACACTAGCTGGAGAGAAACCTTATAACCTTGGACAGACAGAAAAAAACATTTGAGCATGATGTGGCTGGTAGGGAGTGCAGAGATGCAAGAGAGCTAGCTGGTGTCCCACAGGGGGCAGCTGAAGTGCCGGAGGGATATTTCAGCGGCCCGGGTTTTCCCCCTGAGAAATGTGGAGTCTAAACCCCAAGGCAGACTCCCCAGCCTTTAGCACCAGAGCTGGAAAGGAACCCAGATAACATCCAGCTGTGAAGAGCAGCAGGAGTTCTGTCTGCTAGGGAGAGATAGCTGGAGATGCAGAGAGCCTCTTAGAGGGCCAAAGCACAAAATTTCGTTTGCAGCCACTTACCCTGGGTGCTGGCAAAGAGAGGGCAGAGTAGACTAGAGACACTTGAGGAGAGTCTGGGTTGGTGGCTCAGTGGAGAGAACTGAGAGAACAGCCACCAGGATCCATGTACTGAGTCATCCCCCATAGTGCAGGAGCTATCTCTGAACACTCCTCTCTGAATGGCATCAGCCTGAGGGGAAGCTATAGCCCTGCCCACAGGAATTACTCTGCTCCACCCTGTGGTTCTTCAGCCTGACTGCTGATTACAGCTTGATTACATTAACAGCTGATTAGTTTAACATCTAAGGCAGAAAATACAAAGCAGCCAAAATTGGAAGACAAAGAAACACACCTCAAATAAAAGAGCAAGAAAATTTTCCTGAAGAACTAAATGAAATAAAGGTGAGCAATTTATCAGATAGGGAGTTTAGAATAATGATTATAAGGATACTCAACAGCATGAAAAAAGATGACCTAGAAACCATAAAAAAAGGATCAGTCAGAAATAAAGAATGCAGTATCTGAGATAAACAATATACTAGAAGGAATAAACAGTAGGTTAGATGAAGTAGAGGATCGAATCAGTGTTTTGGAAGACAAGGTAGAAAAAAGCAATGAGAGGAGCAAACAGAAAAAAGAATTTAAAAAATGAAGGGAGCTGGGGGTGGAGGGATTGAGCAAAAAAGAAAAAGGACTCATGGACATGGACCACAGGGTGGTGATTGCTGGGAGGAAAGGGGTATAAGGAGACTAAATGGTAATGGAAAAAATATAATAAAGTTATATATTTAAACAAAAAATGAGGAGAGCTTAAAAAACATCTTGGGCAACATGAAGCATAACAACATCTGCATCGCGGGATACCAGAAGGAAAAGAGAAGTGAGCAAGGGATCGAGAACCTATTTGAAGAAATAGTAACCAAAAACTTCCCTAATCTGGTAAAGGAAAACATTGCACAAGTACAGGAAGCTCAGAGAGTGCCAAGCAAGTTGGACCCAAAGAGGCCTATGCCAAGACACATCATAATTACAATGACAAGGCTTAAATATGGAAAGAACCCTAAGAGCTGCAAGATAAAAGCAAGTAAATACCTATAAGGGAACACCAGTCAGACTATTATCTGATTACTCATCAGAAATATTTCAGGCCAGAAGAAATGGCATGAAATATTCAAGGTGATGAAAAGCAAGGACCTACAACCAAGGCTACTTTACCCAGCAAGGCTGTCATTTAAAAAGCAAAGGCAAAATAAGGAGCTTCCCAGACAAGAAAAAACTAAAGGAGTTTGTTAACACCAAACCAGTATTACAACAAATGTTAAAGGGCTTGCTTTAAGAAGAAGAAGAGAAAGAGAGAGAAAATAGAGGAAAACAGTCTAAGAAAAAATGGCACCTCATATGTATCTATCAATAGTCAGCTTAAGTGTCAATGGCTTAAATGCTTCAACCAAAAGACAGAGGGTAGCTGAATGGGTAAGGAAATAAGACCCATATATATGCTGCCTCCTAGAGATCCCTCTCAGATTGAAAGATACACACAGGCTAAAAGTAAAGCGTTAGAAAAAGATATTTCGTGCAAATGGGAAAGAAAAAAAAAACTGGGGTAGCAGAACCTGTATCTGACAAAATAGGCTTTAAAACAAAGGCTATAGTAAGAGACAAAGAAGGATACTATATAATGATAAGGAACAATCCAACAAGAGGATATAATCCTAATAAACATTTACGCACCCAACATAGGAGCACCTGAATATGTAAAGCAAAACTTGATAGACATAAAAGGAGACAAAACACTAATTTGAAAGAACATGAGCACCTCTATATTGATTGCAGTGTTATTTACAATCGCCAAGATATGGAAGCAGTCCAAGTGTCCATCAGTAGATAAGTGGATAAAACAACTATGGGACATTTACATAATGGAATTCCACTCGGCCCTAAAAAAGAAAATTTTACCCTTTGCGACAGTATGGATGGACCTGGCGAACATTATGCTAAGTGAAATAAGCCGGTCAGAGGAAGACAAGTACCGTATGATTTCATTCATATATGGAATCTAATGAACAAACTGAACTACAAGCAAAACAAGAGACAGACTCAGAGATAGAGAGCAGGATGAAAGCTAGTGTAGGAGGAGCAAGGTTAGGGGGTCGAGGGATTGAGCAAAAAGGACCAAGGCCTCATGGACATGGACAATAGTGTGGTGATTGCTGAGGGGAGGGAGGTTTAAGGGACTAAATGGTAATGGAAAAAATATAATAAAGATTCAATATTTTTTTAAAAGATTTTTATTTGTATTTTTTTTCTGATCCCATTTTCTCAAACTGTCTGTTGTAAAATGATTCTTATTTCCAGTCCATCATGGGCTGATAATTTCTAAAAATAGGATAAAAAATAATTACTAGAAAAATAAAATAATACAATCTACAAGTGATCAGATTTTTATTTTTAGCTCCAATAGATACACAATAACTCTGCCAATTTACTGTAAAGATCTCTAGACTCTTCCTCATGATCCCTGTACTTTGGCACAGATGGGTACCAAATAGTTTGTGCGCCAGCCCTGGCTGCAGACCACACTTGGAGCATCGCTGCACTAGGGTGTGTACAATGTGTCAGTGGAATAGTATAGTACCTGCCCGTTAGTTAAAGTGAACAGGTAGCAGTTGGGAGATGCCTGGTCACACGTGTTTTACTACATGATCAAAAGAGTGCAGAGACCACTGATCTGCTGTTAACTGGGTCGAGCCCTAGCGTTGACCTTTGAATCTCATTCTTTCAAGCTGTGCTCCCCGTGCATGAAGCTCTTTATCCTCTGTTATGTCTGGAATTCCAGAGCCCATCACTGGTTTCAACCTCTGTACCCTTTCATTGTTCTTTGCTTGTTGTGTTTTCTGCGCAAGATCACAGGAAGCCTTGGTACCTACAGAGACACGCTCTGCAAGTGAAACAGGGAAAGCCAAATAGACTGTGTATCATGCAGTTTCTTTCGGAAAGCAAAAACCAGACTAGACCTTGTTTTAAAATCAGTTAGCATTGTATTAAACCCACAGTCAGAACGCTCTTAGCTCTCTGGACTTGTGTATTTCTTTCTTCAGCTGCTAAAAGGAGTGACCATTGCCAGTGGAGGAGTATTGCCCAGAATTCACCCCGAACTGCTGGCCAAAAAGCGAGGGACCAAAGGCAAGTCGGAAACTATCCTCTCCCCTCCCCCGGAGAAAAGAGGAAGGAAGGCCACGTCAGGCAAGAAGGGGGGCAAGAAATCCAAGGCTGCCAAACCACGGACGTCCAAAAAGGTGAGCCAGGGACTCCCAGAACAGGAGGAAAGTTGAACTTTCGTAAGATGAAGGTGTAGCTGCACCTCCAAAGAACTGGGGACTCTACACAACTTGGTGCTGGGAGAAAATGACAAGAATGTCTATGAAGAAGAAGAGTAAGAAGCCCTTGAGATGCTCAAATCATCAGGCAGGGTTTACTGGTTTCCAAACCCAAAGTGTGGGTGGTTTTCTTGTTTCCACATCCCTTCCATTGCCCTCACTAAAATCTTATGTGGGAGCTAACAGCCTGAAACTCTGCTTTTCATTTCTCAGCACTCCACGGTGCACACTAAAATATCTCTAGTCTCCCCTAGATAGTCGCCTGAGTCCAGCCGGTGGGATTTCAGTTGTTCTGGATTACCCGATATGCTAAATAGCTACAGCTCAGAGATGCCATTTGCAGACTAGTACTTTCATAGGCTGCCCAGCACAGTAACCGCCATCCATGTGTGGCTATTTCAATTTGAATTTAACTTAATTAAAACTAAATCAAATTTAAAATTTGTTCCTCGGTTGCACCAGCTGAGTGTTCAGTCACACTGAGCAGCACAGATGCAGGACGTTTCCATGATCGTGGGAAGTTCTACTGGACAGCGCAACTTCAGAGCTGATCAGTTTCCCGCCCGCAGACCTCCGTGACAACACAGAGATTATATTAGAGCTCGCTGCACTGCCATAGTGCCCCAGGGAGAAGGGGGATTGAGCAATGTGCTAGAATGACCCCACTTGGTACTGATGCTTATCATCATAAAACTGTAGGCATCGAAAACAGTAAGAGTAACGTACCTGTGTGCAGGTTTGAGTGAGGACTACAGGCACTGTGAACCCTTTCACACACCGTACTTTTGGAAGCACCCTTTTCTCTCCCTTATGTTGTTGCCCCTTGCTTCTCTTTGTTGAGAATAGCAGAACATAACGCCTGACCCCTTCCTTTCATATCCACATTGGTGGTAGCCATGGGAAGAGCTTTGTCAAGCCACTTCGGGCTTTTTCCAAATGATTCCCCATCTGTTCCTCTGATTTCTACCCACAGTCCAAACCGAAGGACAGCGACAAAGAAGGAACTTCAAACTCCACCTCTGAAGATGGGCCAGGGGATGGATTCACCATCCTCTCTTCCAAGAGCCTTGTTCTAGGGCAGAAGGTAATAAAGAGGATCATACTGTGCTGTAGTAAAACGTGATTGCATTTTTATAACCTACTGTACAAGCAGTGATGCCTCCCTTCAATCCCTGGCTTCCCTCATCTGCTTTCACTCTGGTCTTGAATTATTCATTTTTAAACTAAAGAGCTAGGGCAGTGTCTGTGCTGTGAAAGTAAACAAGCTCTGTAGTTCTGAGCATTGTTCCTGTTGATGTTGGTCAGCCAAAGGTAAGCCTCGAGAATCCTTCTAGTCAGCAGAGAGGATGTCGTTGCTGGTTTTCTGGAAGGTTCCCTGCCCCTGTTATTTCTGTGCTCACACTCACAGCTAACTTTCTCAAACAGGCTTTGGGAGGTCCACCTTACATGGCTCAATGTAATTTATCAAAGAAAGAAAATAGAAATATGTTTCCTGAAAACCCCTGGTGTTAGAAATGAATTATTTGCCAATAATTTAGTCTGCTTGCCTTTCCCAGTGGCAGGAAGAAAACAGACACGGCTAGAGATTTGAACAGTCTCCAACACAACAGCACCCCAGCCAGATATGCAAGTAATTCATTCCCACAGCATCAAAGTTTACCAAACAGACAATTTATCTATCAACTCAAGTGGGGCTGCAATAAGATCCACAAGGCAACAGTTCATCATATCCCTGGTAGTTTGAATGTTTGCTGCCTGACAACAGTAGAGTGTGAACTCCTACTGAAGCCGTTAGGAAGAGCATGTTAGAAAAGTGTAAATGGGGCAGGTTCCTAATTCATCACTCATGAAAGCCAGAAGCAAAGAGGTGGAATTTATGTCCCCTCTAGGGGCCATCCGCAGTTACATGACGATTAGCTTTCTCTCCCTTCTCTAGGGGAACAGGAGCTTCTTGCTCACATGGGGAGATGATGGATAACACCTCCATTACACTAAGCTATGAGCATATAGGGCAGCATTTCCCAAGTATAGTCCCAACAGTGTGGTCCCCTAAAGGCAATGTGGCCAGACACAGGCAGGTCAGGGTCCTGGAGCCCATCACTTCTCAAGCAAGGTCGCCAGCTTTGCATCTCTGCCCCAAAGCTCTGTGCAGCTCTGGGAAAGATGCAGGGAACAGAAGGCATAAAAGAGAGCAAGCCCCAGGCTTCCCTCACAAGAGCTACTCAGAGAATACATCACCAAACACCAAGGCTGCCAGGACTGGGACACAAAGGAAGAGTCTGTAGAGAAAGGAAGAAGAGAGGTCCCATTTCTGCTCCTGGAAGAGGAGGTGATTTGTTGCATCAAACACTCTGAGCTCAAGAAGAGCCTAATGAAAACCAAACACCTGAGAAGCTTGAGGCAGTTGCTCTACATACAGCCCTTAATGTTGACAGTCAGGATTAATAATTGGAAGAATGAACAGATATGATGTAATAATGAAGATTTTTAACAGGATTTTATCTTTCCTGCCCTCTCCCTCCATCTTTTCTTCCTAATGCAGTTGTCCCTGACCCAGAGTGACATCAGCCATATTGGCTCCATGAGAGTGGAGGGCATCGTCCACCCAACCACAGCCGAAATTGACCTCAAGGAAGATATAGGTAAGGTCCTGAGACTTTGGTAGAGGTGCCATAGGATAACCCGCTGTTTGAGCAAGTTCTTATGAAGTTGCTCATTGTCACCTGGATATGCCCTGCTTGGGGTACCATGTCAGACTCTGCTTAGCGTATAATTGAATAGCATTACTAGAGAGTAATTTTGTTTTAAATCTGCATATATTTTTGAAATTTTTATTGAAGTGCTATATAAAAACAGATCATTAGCGCACAGCTTGGTGAGTATTTCTCGAAGTGAACACATCTTTGTAAGCAGCACCTTGATCATGAAGCAGATCCTTACCAGCACCTCAGAAGTGTCTCCCTCCCCAACCCCAGTTACCATTCCCTCCATGGGTGACCACTGTCTTATCTTCTAAAGCATAGATAGTGTCATCTGCTTCAGAGTTTATGTAAGTGAAATCATGCAGTGTGTCTTCTTTTGTGTCTGGCTCCTTTTGCTCAACTTTGTATTTGCGAAATCCACCCATATTGTTGAAATCCATCCATTCATTTTCTTTGCTGTATAGTATTCCACTGTAGGACTATACCACAATTTGTTGATCTATTCCATAGTTGGTGGTATTGGGTAGTTTCTGGTTTGGACAACAATGAGTAATACTGCCAGCAACGTTGTTATACATGTTTTGGGTAAAATCTACATATGTTTTAAGCTTAAGTGGTGAGAACACCATTGGCAAAAAGGAAAAGGGCATCTAGAAAACAGTAGCTGCCTTTAAGGTGGGGATGGTACCAGGCTCGGTAGAAGAGCTTAGGAAGGTGAGCTATTATGGGCACCGAACCATGGTAATATAATAGCATACTAAAGATCACCATCTTAGATCACAAAACAGAGGCGCCTTAAACTCTCCATTGAAAGAGTGAAGTGAGCAAAGAAAGGGCTTTGTCTTTGGAATGCAGGGCTCACTTCTGAGATAGGGGATTTAAGGCAGTTGCTAGTTGTTCATCCCTGGGCAGCGGCAGCGGGGCCCCAGGCTGCTGGGCCCACTATGTTTCCCCTCTTGGCAGCAGAAGGCACTTACTTTGCAGAAAAGGAGATAGGACAGCACTGAGGAGTGGGGGGTTCATTGCAGAGAAGCAGGACTTCTCTTGCACAGAAGCAGAAATGGTGGAAATTCCTTCTTCACTCTTCAAACCCAGCTCAGGCCCTACCAATACCAACTCCCTGTCTCCGTGGAAAGACTCCCCCGGTGACCTTAATCTTGAGCTCTGTTTGGATGTATGTGTGTCCTAGCTTCTCACAAGCAAAACAAGTGACGGTGTCCAACTTTACTATTTCAATAGTTCGCGTTTTTATTTTAGGAAAACAGTAAAGATATTCCCATTTTTTAAGTGGCAGGGTGGTGGTAGAACAGAAAGAGCACTGGTGTTGGAGGAAAAACTCAAGCTCAGACCCCAGCAGCGGAGGTTCTGGAGCCAACCTGTGTCTGTGTCCTGGAGTTTTTAATCACTTCCTAGCTCTGTGGCTTTAAACAGGTCTCTTATCATGCTGAACGTCCGTTCCGTCCCCTGTCAGTGCAGGTAACAGAGTAGTTCCTGGCTCATGGGAGTGCTGTGAAGGTGGAATAAGATAATACATGGATGGTCCTTCGCACAGTACTGGGCTCATAAGCATTTAATAAATAATAGTCTTCTTACTTTTGTGTCGTTAGAAGGGCTCCCTCCTCTTGTGTTCCATTCTCCACTACTGTCACCCAAACCAGTAATCCACGCAAATGAGACCCTCATTTATTCGTTTTAAAAATTGGTTGCTATTACAGAAAAGTTCAGGCATACATAAAATAACAGAGGAGTATAATGAATCCTTATGCACCCTGTTGGGAAAATTATCAACCCATGACCAAATTTGTTTCAACTCTGCCCCAACATGTATCCCTCCAAACATCATATCATTTTCTCTGTGAATACTTCAGAATAATGAGGGCTATTTTTTAACAATATAACCATAATATCGTATCACAACTGGAAAATTTAAGTTAATATCAAGTAACAGTGTTTAAATTCCAGTTGCGGCTAGAATTAACGTCAATTTTTTAAAATTTGTTTATTTGATTCAGGATCCAAATAAGCCCACACGTTACAATCAGATGATAAGCATTTTAAGTCTCTTGTAGCCCATAGTTTCCCCTTCCTCCCCGCCTCATTGTTTTTGCAATTTATTTGTATAGGAAGGCAGATGACAGCCCAGATTTTGTTGCTTGCATACACCTGGTGTCCTTAAATATGTTTCTTTTCTGTCTTTCTTATAAGTTGGCAGTCGATCTAGAGGCTTGGTAAGATTCAAGTTAAAAAACTGGCAACATGGCTCGGCCAGTGATGGAATGTTCGTCCACCAGGAGGCACACAATGCCTGGTTGGTTGTCTCTCACTGATGCTCCATTTCTAGGTTGGTCCATTCATTAGGGGCAGCGAAGTGGAGATGCTCTCGTTCTGGCATTCCTCACTGGAGTATTTCCACAGACAGCAAGATCCCTCATCAGAAGCCCTCAGGGAAGGGGTGGACTCACCTTGCCTGTTACACATTTGCATCCGGCCCCTGACTGGGCAGCAGAGGGCAGCAGCTTAGGCTATTTCCCCTGCTGTCAGCAGGAACTTGGCAACCAAGCCTGGTTACCTGGCCTCCTCCAGGCTTCTGTGACCCAGCCGGTCAGCACTGGGTGGGAGTCTGAGGCCCAGAAAGAGACTTAGAGGCACTTGGGTTAGCCCGTGATAACCGTTTCCAAATTGTATCATTGAAACCCAAGTACATTCCTGAAGAAATCCTCTCCCCATCCCCTGCCCGGTGGAGAGTGACTGCTGGGATGGCATTTTCCCTAACTGAGGAGTCCGATGCACTGTGGCTCTCCGAACATAATCGAGTGTGTGAATGTGGAGCAGGGAGGCCCCCTCATCCAGATTCTAGGGAAGCCTCTGAATTGAAAATAATAACTACTAATCACCATAAAGAGAGTTGAGCCTTGCCCCGGACATCCAGAGCATCGAATTCGGAAGACGATGGACATATATGAGGGGAAATACCGGATCTCCCACTGAGGGCAGCAGTCACCCTTGTTTGGACAGATTTGCCCCTGTGTCTCAGCATGAGGTTCCTAGTGGGCGAGAGCGGGGGTCCTGCCATCTCCTGGGGGTCCCGCTTGTCCTCTATAGTAGCGCAGCCCTGAAATATCAAGTCAAAACTGTCCTAACATCGAAGAGTCAAAGGATCTCCCAGTGGAAAGCTCTACATTTTTCCATTGAAAATCAAGGCCCGCACTGGGGAGCAGCATTCTAGGTGTCCTGGGCCTGTCTGTCCTTTGACGCCACGGACTTACAACACATTGGCGGTGGTGGGAGGGGAGCAGGACCCCGGTACTCTGCCCAGAGGTTTCCGCTGAGCCACGGGCCACCTCAGGCCTGGGCTCGCCATTGTGGCTGCATCCCCTGGACCTACTGTGACTCTGGGGCAAGGCTTATAAGCTGATGACAGGAGGGCCTGTGAAATCCACCCCAGCATGGGATGCTGCCGTCAAATCAAGATAATTGAATTTAACCAACACAACAGAGACTGAGCCCAAAGAACAGAACACCAGAGCCTAATTTTTTAATACAAAATCATCTTTAGATTCATGTCATGATACACTTTATGGCCAAATTACCCCCAAAAAAGTTCTTTAAGAGTTTATTAGAGGCCCTGACCAGGTAGCTCAGTTGCTTAGAGCATCATCCAGATATGCCAAAGTTGTGGGTTCAATCTTTTGTCAGGGAACATACAAGAATCAACCAATCAATGTGTTAGTAAGTGGAACAACAAAAAAAATGTTTCTCTCCTCCCCCCTCTAAAAATCAATAAGTTTAAAAAGAAAACAAAATTAAAGCCCTGGGCAGGTGTCTTACCTGGTTGGAGCATCATCCTGTACACAAAAAGGTTGAAGGTTCGAGCCCCGGTCCGGGCACATAGGGGAAGTAACCAATCCACATTTCTCTCTCCCTCCCTACACCCTCTCTCCCTCTCTCTCCCTCTCTCTTTTCTTCTCTCTCAAATAAATTTTTAAAAAATATCCACAGATGAGGATTATTAAAATTCTTCTAAAAAAGGGTTTGTTCAAATCTGTGTCCCAATGCACAGAAGCCAGAGACCCCAGCCACCAGTGCCTACTGACTAACGAAGATTTCAGCTGCAGAGTTTTATTCTGACTTTCTAAGTATGATTTGTTTGTTTTTGCTGGCCCGATAAAAGTATGTCAAACAGTGAAGTTAATGACATCGACAAGAACAAACACAGTGGCTTCCCCTTGTTCTCCTTCACAGGTAAGGCCTTGGAAAAGGCCGGGGGGAAAGAGTTCTTGGAAACGGTAAAGGAGCTCCGCAAATCCCAAGGCCCCTTGGAAGTCGCCGAAGGTAAGTGTGGAGATGGGCCCGTATGCCCAGCACAGCCTCTCCACCTCCCTCTCCCACTACGTGCTTCACGCATCATCTTTTGCAAAGCAAAATATGCCGTAACTGATCAGAAAGCTATTTTTTAATATGAGCAGCCCCATGTAGATCATTTCATATGCTTTGGAGGCTATAAAATATCTGGATAGTTCCAGTCGGTTTATATCAGGTCACCCAAAAATGGTCTGGAGTTATTGGGTAACTTTAATTTAAGCAGCCATTCTTCTCCCTCTTCCCCCGGCAGCCACCCATCTGCCTCCGTCTCTATGGATTTCCCTCTCCTGGACTCGTCATATAAGTGGACGCATATAACATGTGACCTTTTGTGTCTGACTTCTTTCACATAACAAGTTCTTCAAGGTCCATCATGCGGCACCATGTATCGGAACATCATTCCTTTTTATGGCTGAATAATATTCCACTTTGTATATCCATTCATCACTTGGGTTGTTTCCACTTTAGCTATTGTAAATAGATTTGCTACAAGTATTTGTGCTTAAGTTTTTGTTTGGACACTTGTTTTCAAGATTATTGGGTCATTTTTTGACGGGCGGGTCCAACTGCAGGTCTGCGTCCTGACCTGTACCGCTCCCGGTGACCGTCGTGGTCAGTGCCGGGTGCTGTCCTGATGCTGGGGCTCCAGAGACGGTAACTCCCACTGCAGCCCCCAAGCCCTGGACAGTCTAGGAGGAAGGACAGACACAGTAGTGGGGCACGGAGAGACGGCAGAGCTCGCCCGCTGCTTGGGGGAGAACACGTGAGGGCAGGGACATGGTGGCTGTAAGGGTGATGTATGTGAGAAGCCTCAGGTCATGAGCCAGCAGGGAGCAGCAGGTAGGAGACCCTGTACAGCCCAAGAGGGGCATCTTTGAAATTTGAGCTGGGGACTGTCATGATCAGATTAGATGGCTGGAAAAGTAATTAGGGCTTCCAGACAGGAAGGAGTGTGAACCCACCCTTTACAGCCTGCACATTACAACAGAACAATGGTAGAATTTTTTTTTTGTTAACTTCAAGACAGAGCCACACTGAAATATAAGATAGACATACGAGTGGGCAGGGACAGGAGAGCTGGTGCGGCAACAGCAAGGGAAGGTCTAAGATCCATGTTTGGCTCCAGGTCTGGAGAACCATCAGGAGACTGACTCTATGGTGATGAGACCAAGCCACCTCACCCTCGGGGAGAGCCAGAGCCAGGCTCAGCACTAAAAGCAAGGGCTGGATAGAACTCCCACGGTCTTTAGCCCTGACCTCCACCCAGGGCTGAGGCTTGTGTGAAATCTGTTTTCTGGGGTAGCCGATGGGAACAGGGAGCCCCTCGCCCAAGGCAGGTTGCCCACTGGCTCAATGTCTGGACTTACATCTCTACATCACCATGAGACAGAGCCCTGAATCGGCGACGAAAAACTGGATCTGGACCGCGGGGGGGGAGAGGGGGGTCTGGGGAGGCACCCAGAAAACTGCCTGTCAGGGGAGGAAGGAAGTAGCTGCTCTGCACAGAACAAGAGGCTCCAGCTTCTAGAGATTGAGAGGCAGAAAACAGAAGGTAGAGAAACAGCATTTTAAAAGATGATAGCTGAGAATTTCCCAGAATAAAACCCATGAGTCCTTAGGTTGAACATACTGAGTATAATAAATGAAAATCATGGTGACACTTCAGAAGTTCAAAACTCACGAGAAAACTGAAAAGCAATCCAAGAGGACAGGCAGATCATTTGTGAAGACTGTTCTCCTGACAGCGGCCTTCTCCACAAAGCGTGCTGCTTGGAGACGAGAAAGAAGTATCTTCCGAGCACCTGAGGGGAAAAATTGTCAACCAAGGATTCCCACATGTTACTTTGTTATTATTCAAAAGGGAAGGCAAAGGATGCACGATTTCAGACTTTTAAGAGTCAGAAATCCAGGCTCTCACTGAAAGGACTGTTGTCGGCCTCACTGTGAGAAACAAGTGAATCCAGGAGGCAGCTGCAGGGAACGATCGTGAGCTAAGAAACTGGTACAAATCTGTTAGGTCTAAGCCTCCGTGGCCTGGGAGCGGTGTCTCCCTGAGAAGAAGGGACTGGTAGGGGTGAATCTGGAAAAGGGGAGGCGGTCTGTCAAGTTCTAACATCATATTCCCTTCAGTTTCAAAACACCATCAGTTGTAGGATAGGCCCTGTTTTATATCCCATTAAGAAAGAGTAGATTTCCAAGATGGGGTGTCTAGCAGGAGACCCCACATAAAGCCAGGATACATTCAGTTTAAGAGCAAGCAAGACAGACCCATCATGCACACAGGTCAGCAGGTATCTATCTTGACCTTGGCATTGGGTTAACCAAGGCGGGGAAAGCCTCGCTAGACAATCTGAACCATAAGCTGGTACTCCCGCAGGTTTGCAGCCAAATCCAGGCAGCCCAAAAACCTCAGGCGGGGAAGTTAGTAGGATGTGGCTTTGGTTTGGGCATGTCCCCAGGTGACAGAAGCAAATGCAACTTCTCTCTGAAAGAACTCAGCTCAGCCCAGGTTAACAGTGGCTGTCAGGTGCGTCGTGATTTCAGCCAGGAAGCGGGATGGGACGGGGCGGGAGGCGGCGGTGGAAATGAAGCAGACAGGCCTGGAATAAGATGAGTCTGAGGAAACTGACGGGTGTTCCCATGACAAAAAGGGGCCCAGGGGGCTTGGGTTTCGGGAGTGAGAGATGTTGTTGGGTGCATGCTAGTCCCGGGGGCACAGGTCACAAGCCGTGTGAACGCCTTCTGTCTGCAGGTTCCTCAGAGGACCGAAGAGACCACCGCTGCCCAAGGGAGTGCACGGCCAAGCCAGGGGCCCGCCCTTTACCCAGGCCGCTAGGCCACTGGCACGAGCCCTGCACCAGACCTGCTGAGTCAGGATCCCGGGCTGGGGGGTGGGCAGGCCTGTTCGTGGAAAGTCTAAAAACCATTGTATTAATTTCCTATCATTGCTATAACAAATTACCACAAATTTCATGGCTTCACACAACACAGATTTATTCTTTTATGAGTTCTGCAAGTCAGAAGTCTACAAGCAGTTTTTTAAAAAACTAAATCCAAGGTGCTGGCAGGGCTGGTTCCTTCTCGGAGAAGCTGTTCCTGCGTCTTCCAGTTCTAGGCGGCCACGTTCCTTGGCTCCTGGATGCGTCTTTCCCAACTCTGCCTCATCGTCACTTCATCTTTTCTGACCTTGACCTCCCTCCCTCCCTCTTAAAGAATGATCTCCCCACCTCAAAATCCCTCACTGGATCACATCTGCAAAGTCCCTTATGCCACGTAAAGTAACATTCACAGGTTCCAGGGACAAGGGCGTGGACATTTTGGGGAGGCCAGTCCTCAGCCCACCACAGCTGCCAGAGATGACTCTGATGTGTACCTTCAATTAGGAACCATGGTGAATAGGTAGCCTAACCTAGTGGCTAGTTGGAAGGCCACATGAAAGTCATATGCTGCCACAGCAGCTTTCATTAAAAGAAGCTTGTGCCTACTGTCCAAAGCAAGTCCATCACAGCTCCTGCTCTCTGTAAACATCCAGTCCCCATCGAAAGCACGGAACATTGCCCATCAACTTCTCTATTGCTTCCTTGTCCCCCACACATCTAACAGGTCCATGTGGGGTTTGGCCTAACCCCCTGGCTTACGGTGAAGACTAGGAAATAACCTGCAGTGTTTCTCTCCTATGTTCCAGCCGCTGTCAGCCAATCCAGCGGACTTGCAGCCAAATTTGTCATCCACTGTCACATCCCTCAGTGGGGCTCCGACAAATGTGAAGAACAGCTTGAAGAGACCATCAAAAACTGCCTGTCGGCAGCAGAAGACAAGAAGCTCAAGTCTGTGGCCTTCCCACCCTTCCCCAGTGGCAGGTAAGATGTGCTTCTCCACGCGGGCAGGGGAGGCTCTGAGTCCAGCCGTCTCCCTGGGAACCAGCGCTCCCCCACTTACTCACAACCACTCCGGCCATTCCAGATGACATGAGCAAGGGCTGCCAGTGCAGCCAAGCCTGCTGACCGGTGACAGAGCAAGAAACCCGGTCTCCGTTCTTCAAAACATGGAGAGAGGCAGTGGGGAGGAGCGAGAGGCAGGGTCCTTTTTTGAGAGTTCAAAGCCCCCCTTCCCACCAGCTGTCCCCGTCTAGCACACATGATCAGAAAACAGCCCAGCAGCGGCCACCCCACCATGTTAGAATTCAGACTCTAAGACCCACCCAACACCTACTGCCTCAGAATCCCTGGGGATTCCAGTGCTACCCTGGGGGGCAGGAGGGACACACACACCCAGAGCTAGGGAAGGCTATCATCTAGGGTTTGCTCTCGGGGGGCTGGGAGACACGATTGTTCTGTCACAGACCCCACCTGGGCACGAGAACAGGATCTCAGGAATATGTTGAGGGTCTCCAACCTCACCTGCAGCATGTCTTCTCCCTTCATGCTTATAGCCAAAGCAAGCTCTTGCCTTAATTTTGAACTCCTCTCTTGAGAGATACCGCGGTGACACTGATACGGTTTACACTCTAAAGATGTTCTGTTAAGGCTGAGTTCTGGGCAGACAAAGAGGGAAACGAGAAGTAGGGCTTCCTGCTGTAATCCTATCCCCACCAATAGGAGCAGCGCTGAGTCTCCAAAGCCCAGCCCAGAGGCTGTGGGCGGAGTCCTTTACTCCGCTGGGACCGCGTGCCAGGACGTTCTGGACTGGGACACTACCCGTGAGTCAGAATTACATCAGAGGCCCGTCCTGGACCCACCCAGGAGGGCTTGGTGGCCCACGTGGCCACAGTGAGTGTGTCCCTGAGGGCTGCTCCCATGGCCCACCGGGCAGCGCTGTCCTGGCTCCCGGGTGCTTGGGGCCCTGCCCAGTCACTGCTGCTGAAGCGACATTCGCACATCTGTATGGGTCGATGAGAGGAATAGTAAGCACGAAAAGGAATTACAAAGACAAGATTTGAGCATATATTTTTGCCCTTTAATAAACAATCATATAAACCAGCTACGAGGGAGCTAATAAAACATCTATATGTTTTGAAGACGAGGTATTTGAAATGCTGAATTGGTAGTGTTTTTAAAACCAAACTTGACTTCAGTCAGGCTACAGATTCAAGCACAGGGCACTGCTCACTAGCCAGCCCTGTGACCTTGGCTAAACGCTTTGCCCCTGAGTCAGTGTGGCACCTAGAAAGTGAGGATGTGGGTCTCCCACTTGTGCCCCGCAGGCTGTCCCTCTGACTAGCATCGAAGGAGATCATGCGTGGACCAGAAGGCACATGTCAAGACTCCATGCAATAGAAACCAGGGCCCGTGCCAAGATAAGAAGGGCCCGCATTGCCCCTGCCCTGGGCTGAGTTACTCCATGGATCCCGGGAACCAAAGTGACATGGGCTCTTCTTTTCCTTTGGCACAGAAACTGCTTCCCCAAACAGACGGCTGCCCAGGTGACCCTCAAAGCCATCTCGGCCCACTTTGATGATTCAAGCGCGTCCTCGCTGAAGAATGTCTACTTTCTCCTCTTCGACAGCGAGAGCATCGGCATCTATGTGCAGGAGATGGCCAAGCTCGACACCAAGTAGCCACCGTGGCTACACTGTCCAACAGGAGTTGGAGGAGGATCAAAGTCACAGGAGTGGGTTTTATTTTTAAAAGGAGAGAGGAAGGGCGACGCAGGGGAGCGCTGGGCGGCTGAAGGGAAGCGGGTGGCAGAGGCTGCGGGAGCAGGCCCCGCCCACCGATGGAGCCCTCTGCATTTTATATTCTCGGTAAAAAGAGCCTCAGTCTTAAAAACCAGGTCTCCACGAGGAGTTCCTTCCATGTGTTTTCTTCCTATTGTTTTAGAACTTTTTTTAAAAACAGACTTCATTTTAGATTTATAGCATTGACTTTTACACACACACACACACACACACACACACACACAAATCCTTTCAAAATTCTTAAGTTTTCTGTTTCTCCTTTTTGCAAGGGCGGAGGGCCTAACAGTGACTCGGGCTTTGCTGGCTGTCTGTATTGAGTGATGGGGAGAAGAAAATTAGAAAGCATCTCACTGGTGCTTATTTTCTGTTTTAGTGCCCCCACCCCTGTAATATCTGTAACTACTCTTAAAAAGGTTTTGCTTCAGGCTTTTTTCTGTTTTGTTTTGTTTTTTAAAGAAAAGGAAAATGAAAGAAAAAAAAAATAAAGCATCCAGTGTCTTTCTTACAGCATATTCTTTTATTGCAACATTTTCGTCCGTTTGGAAAACTGTCCCCATGGGTGGACACGTCTAGAATGTTATAAATAGAACAAGGTCTGTCTCCGATGGGCTGAGACTCCCGCCATGCTACGCCCCAGGTCAGACAGCACAAAATGGCCTGTGTTTTTCAGGCAGAAGAGGGGCCTGGCAGGCCCTGGTCCACAGAACGCAGACCTGGGCGAAGCTCCGCAGGGGCAGCCATGCTTTGGGAGAGACGCACATGTCCCTCTTAGGCCCAGGCCACAGCCCAAAAGGAATGCAGTGAGAAGCCCAGCAAGGCTGGTGTCCAAGGACTCTGGCCAAGTATCCAGACACCACCATCAAAAGTATGCGGGGAGGGGCAGGGCGGGTGGCAGAACCTGAGTTTATTCAGATGAATTCATCAGCCACCCAGCCTGTAGAGGCTTAACTTAATGTGGTCCAGAACCGGCTCCTCTGGATGAGAAGGGCTCTCCCAAACAGGAGTCATTTCTATACCTTAGTAGAATTGGTGGCAGGCATTATTGCCCCATGGCTGGGTCTCCAGATGAGTGGCATTAGGGTTGGCCAAGAAACCAGAAGCACGAAACCACCAAGGGTCCCCCAGCATCAGAGTTTTGTCACTTACAAACTTGCCCGTGACAAAAAGCAGGGGTTTGCCTGCTGAAGCCCCCATCTGCTCCCTGAATGTTAACCAGATGGCAGCCCACCCAAAGCTCACATTAGCTCAGCTGCCTTTCCTTAAACACCTCCAGCGGCTGGCAGGCCGGTTCCGGTCTACACTTCTGTTAGCTTTGTAAAAACTCACTGTTAGAAGGGACTAACCAAGAGGGAGATATTAAATTCTTCTTAAATATAACCTATGATATAGAATCAGGATCTAAAAGTGGAAATAAAGAAAGTTTCATTAAGATTAAAGACTGTAGGGACTAAGAGTTTTAAATCAGACTCTTATTAACAACCTGAGTGTGGCAGGATGTGTGGGCTTCCCCACCCTCTAAATGATGGGGGAGACTGAGGCACAGATCCCCTTCCTTGGCTGGCCTCACCTAGCAGGCCCTCCTTTCTGCCCTTCCACACAGGCTGCCAGCCATCAGGAGCCCCAGCCCTCTCCCTGTGCTGAGCTCTGAGTGCCACGCCCATGCGTACACATCCAAGAGGAGCCTGTGGTAGGCAAGGCCAGCTCCGCCCTCCCGGGACCAAGTGAAACATTCGGTCAGAATATGGCAAGCAGACCTTTCCAAACCCAGAAAGAATCCTCTAGTGAGGTGTCTTTGTAATCTCTTGCACGCGCGCTCATGCTCTCTCCATTTTTGGTTTTCTGTAAGTTGTGTTTCTGGTGAGTACATCCCTGGCATCTTACTCCAGAAAAAGTGTCCTTGGCACTTGTAAGGCGGGTACCACTTGTCACGCAATCCATTCACCTGGCAACAGCGGTACTTTGTCTCCCGCCCGGCCTCCTCATCAGGGTGGAGACTGCCGCATGGTTTTCCAGCTTGTAGAGATGAACAGGTCCCGGCTCTTGGCCAGCCGAACCATGAACCGCCCCACGTAGAAGCCACTGATCTGGCCCACACCATCATTTCTCCCCATGGTCAAGAGGAACGTCAGTGCACCTGTGGAGCAGAGACACAAACTAGAATCCTCCTCATCGTTTGTGGGCCTGCAATTCCCAGATCTATGTATTTATTGCCAGTTATTAAAGTGCTCTAGGGGACACTTCTGTCGCCAGCTTTGAAAGTTTGTTCTAGCAGTCAGTCATCTCAAAGGTTTCACCATGTCTAACCCCAACTGTCTTAACACTGTGAAGCACATGGGGCTCCCTTACCTGGCTTATAGGCCTTGAGGGGCCTTTGTTTCATGGAATTGACAATGTTAGTCACGGCGATGTTGGCGTGGAGGCCGGCGTGATAGGCCATCTTGGGCTCCTTCACTTCGGCACAGTCGCCGATGGCATAGATGTGGCTGTAGCCCTCCACCTGGAGGTACTCGTTCACCCTCAGGGCGCCACTGCTGGCCAGTTGACTATCTGCCAGGCAAAATCAACAAAAAACCAAGCCCCTGAGCTGCCATGTTAAGTGGCCTCCAGAATGCAGTGAGGAGGAGCTCCGATGCTGGCCAAAAGGCACACCCTCCGGAGGCAAGCCTCCCACCTAATTTATCTCTGCCCGAAGTCTCCACCTCAGAACTCTTCCTGCAAAGGCAAGGTTACTGTTCCAGGGAGGAAACCGTCAGAAAGAGAGCAAGTGTCATTTTATGAAATGAGCATAACTCTGTAAGTTACTATGATTAACTCACAGTGCTTAAGTTTACAACTTGGCCAAGTCTTAAAGTTTCTTTTGAAGGTGGATCAGATTTTTAAAATAAATGTAAGGCTTTAATAAATGCTAAACTTTTCATTTTAAGGGACTTAAAAGAGTTTATCTTTGAAATATAGCATTAGGACAATTAAGTGTTAAATTTTGGGATCTCTGTCCATTAAGCCCTCAGTTCCACCCCCATGTCTGGCCTGGACTGGCTTCCTTCCTCTGGGATCCATGAGTCTTTTCTGCAGGGCACAAAGTAGGAGCTCCTTGTGCAGGAATGCTACTCGGGAAAAACTGATGGGGACCTGCGGGTACAGCAACCACGGGGCTGGACGAGGAGCCACTGAGTCTCCAGCCCACACATGGAGGCCATCAGTCCACCTGCCCCACCTTCCAGTTAGCTAGATAGATCAATACTGCGCTTTAAGAACATGAAGGCCCAATATGGCCCCTACTCCCCAAATGGTCGTTCCAAGCTCACGTGGCCAAACGTCCAGATCAGAGTTTTGAGTGAGCAGCACACCTGTAAACAGAGAAAGGCCTGACCCCAGAATTCCTCTGCGTCTGTGATCCAAAGAAAGGAACAGAAAAACGGGCCTTTTTCATCCGTTTGAAACCTGTTCTCATCTCTCACCACTAGGGGGCGGGCCCCAATTTTGGAAGATTCTGGTCGCTTTGGACATCTTGGACTAAGTCATAATCGTCACAGCTGAAGAAGAGACAGGAAGAATGAACCCGAACCTGAACCTGAATTTAAAGTTTGACATCACCATTCAGAAGAGAAAAATGAGCTGCTGGGATGGAGGGGGAAGGAAGGGTGGTGTCTAATTCCTGGGGAAGAGGCCTGAGGGACCTTCTTAGACAGCTGGACAGAGAGGAGGCAACCTGGGGAATGGACAATGGCTCAGCCTCCTGCTTACCAAACGCACTGTGGTAGGCAAAGCTGTTGATCTTGATGCCGCTGCAGACAATCACCAGGTTGGTGGCCAATTCCGTGCCTTTGTCTGTCTGTACACTGATGTGCTCTCGATACTCATTGAGAGGCAGCTTCTCCAGGTTGCTCACCCGCTCACCTGTCAAGGGAGGTCTGTGAGCAGGAGGCTGGCAGAGGGTAGAGAAGGCTGGGGTTTAAGCCAAGCCTGACGTGGGGAAGGCTGGAGACCCTCGAAAGGCCCCAGGAAAGGCCTGGATGCTGTGACCCAACTTGGCAATGACTCCGCTGCCCCCTTCCCTCCCTGTTCCTCTCCCAGCCCATCTGCTGCCCCAAGAAGCACAATCTGGACATCGGGCCCCAAGGGATCCAATGGGAGGAAAGTTCCAAGAAGCAGTTTGAGGCTGAGTTTCCCAAGAAGTTCTAGGAACAGCTATTTAAGGAAGAGCTCTAGCATGCCTCCCTGACTGTCTGCTACACCGCCCGACCAGGCACACCAACAAAGGTGAGGCAAGGAAACTCAAGAAGCCGGCCTGCTCTCCTCACTGCCTAAAAGTAAAGGTGATCACAGTACCACAGAGGCAGGTACAAGGAGACCAAGAGCTAGGAGGGGCTTCCACAGAGCAGACACCTCACCTCTCCCTGAAAGTAACAGAGGCTGAGCCCGTGAAGCGCGGGGGCTCCAGCCCCTCTCTTGAACACGCTGGACGGTTCTCTTTCCTCTTGCTCTGGCCAAAAGCCACACTCCTCACCACCCTCAAAATACAACCCAAACAAACTTAATCTCTCCACCACAGAGACATCGTAATTCAGGTCAAATGCTTTAGATGGTTTTTTTTTAAATCATTCAACAACTAGGTGCCATCGGCACTTCGTCCAAAGCAATAGCCAGGACAGTGCTGCCTCTGTGACATGGCAATCCCGTAAGTACTAGGACCTCTGCTCTGCCCGAGGACACACACAACCCCCAGCTGTACAACAGGGCTCAAATGGGCTCTGATGTTCTCAACCCCGGGACACAGAGAGAGCATGGCCATCCGCAGGCTGGGGCCGTGACCAAGTCTCGGGGCCCAATCTCTCTAGGGCAGGGAGAGGGGTGGGGCCGGAGGGGACTGGCACGTACTCAGCAGCAGCTGCACACCCTTCTGGAGCAGGATCTCCTTCACCTCCTGCCGGACGCAGGGCAGGAGCTCCCTGTCGGCCAGGGCCACGTTGGAGTGAATAAGAGTGACCTAGGGGTAAACGACCATGGGACGGAGAAGGAGTCACTGGGTCTTCTGCTCACAAGAAAAGGCTTAAAAACACATCACTCTGTCTCCCCCCACCTCCTCCCCAACCTCCAGTTTACAGGTTTGGGAACAGAGGCCCAAGAGAATAACTGCCCGACACTGGAACCAGCTAACAGTGAGCTGGGCTGGAGCCGTCTCCCGGTCCAGGACTCTCAGAATGTGCCAGTGCTCCACACCCACACCTAGCGCCACATGGAGAATCGTTTTCAAGCATCATTGGGCACTTACGACTATAAGATCTATATGTAAGCCACTGACACTCCAACTGTCAATCAGGCTGACACTTCCATCAAACCTGGTTCTAAAATCGGCGCTTCTAGCCACGTCTGCCCGCTGTCTGAGCCAGCCCAGGGAAGGGGGAGGCAGGCTGCAATGGCGTTCAAAGCTCGGACTTTGAAATCAGACTGCCTGGGTTGAAATCCCATCTCGGATACTGGGACACGGCCTGACAGCTCAGTAAGATGGGATCAGAGTCCGACTCAGAGGTTTTATAATAATGAGATGAGAACATGTGTGTACAGCGCATTACTCAGCACGGTGGCTACTATTCCTCTTATTTGTCTGATTGTCAACATACGGAAGTCATACTGAGTTACTTCTTACTTCAGACTAGTCTTTACCACATAAATCAAAATTAATGAACTTTTATAATACATCAATTACTCATAATAATTTCCAACAATTTGTCAGAGAACAACCATATAATTAAATTAGCCCATATTGATCTCACTTTTCGAAACCAACCTGCTTTTCCCTAGGGAAAAAGAACCAGCCGCAGGCTCCACATGCCGCTCAGAAGCTGATCTGGCGTCAGCTGCAAACAAGCTCTTGGCCCATAATTACCAATAATCATTCCGCCCTCAGCTGAGCCTTCGCAGCCTGCCAGGATGATTTTTCCTCTCCAGGGCACCAGGCAGGTGCTCTATCCCTCATTAAAAGGGAAGAGGGCCGCCCTCCCGAGGGCGGAAGGCAGCGTTGGCCAGCCCTTCCTCGGCACGGGCAGTGAGGGGCTCCCCATGTGACTGTCCAGGGCCAGGGCTACCGTCTATTAAAGGCCAAAAAAGCCACTGCTTGCCCAAGACAAAAAACCAAGGGTGCCTTTGACCAAGCTAGTCATCAGCAAAAAGAGGCAAGCAAAGTCTATGTTTAGGTCACAGAGCTGGGACACTGAACGGCCACACAGGAGGTAATCTTTTATAAGTTGTCTCCCCTGAGCTTGAGTCCCCTGGTTGGACCAGAAGGCAGGACTCCTTACTGAACTAGAGCGCATCCCAGATCTCCAGAAAGACTCCCAGCAGAAAGGGACCTTAAGGGATCCCTCAGTGCAGAGAGCAGGAGATGGGAAGCACAGGCCCCACCTCTCAGGCCTTGAGCAAATTCCTGATTTTCCTCAGACAACACAGAATGAAGCCAACCACTGAGAGCGCAAAGCCGAGGCCGCTCGCCCACCTCTTTCTCGGGGTATTCCGTTTTAACCTCCGCCGCCATCTCTACTCCCGCAGAGCCGCCGCCCACCACCACGATGGACTGCGAGCGCTGGACCTGGAGCAGAAGCAAATGTAAAAACACACCCTCGAGTTCACCCCACCCCGTGGGTCAGCACTGGGAGGGGCGGGGGTGCCGGGGGCTCCTTGCCAAAAAAGAGTAGAGAACTCTTTCCAAATTTTGGGTCCAAGTGTGCTTCCTTGGGGCCTGGCACTTGCTGGGCGTCTCCCTGCATTTTCTCATCTGATTCTCAACAACCGCTGCAAGAGGCAGGTATCACTACCCACCCACTTTTCAGATGACCATGGCCCAAGTCTGTCTGAGTTCAACGCCGGGCTCCTAACCCGGCACTGTTCTCCCCAGCCTCTCAGAAGCTTTGCAGAGAGGGAAAGAACTGGTTTAGTCACGCAGCAGCACTCTCCTAAGGCCCTTCTCCCGGCCTCCGCTCCTCCTCAGCTCCATGGGGAGAGAGCCGTCCCACCCACCAGTGTGAGAGCCGACTGAGGCCTGCTCTGTAAATCCAAGGCCCTGTGCAACCAGGATCCCCAAGAGAGAGGAGGGGAGGACTCACCAGTCTCTACATGAACAGGTCTGGGTGTTCATGCCTAGACTTTGATGACAGATCCAAAGGTCTCCCCCAGGAGTCTCTAATTAACTCTCCATCTTTACAGCCACTGTCACAGCCCCGACACCTCCTAGGGTCTCCCTGCTGCGGCCCCAAGTGTCCCCACAGCTATTCTGCTCTCCCGGGTGCCACCTCATCTGCCCTCACTGCCCTGCCCCGGTCAGGGGGTAGCTCGCCTGCTTCACCATGTCCTCGTAGGCCTGAATGGCGTCCTGCTGACTGCAAACCCAGTTCAACTTGCCGGGGAAGGGCCCAGTGCTGCCGGTGGCCAGGATGAGATGTGAGAAGGGCAGCGCCTGTGAGGGCAAGGAGAAGGAAGGTGAGGGCAGGCCCGGTTCTTTGCCCAATCCCAGGCCCGCGGGGCAAGGAGCCCCGGTGGTGAGCCCCCTCTGGGACCTCTGGGGCAGCCCTCCTTGGGGGGAGCAGACCCATCACATGTAGAGGCCAAGGGGTGGCACTAGAACCCTGTAATACCCAACGACGCCGGCTTTACCTCCTGCCAGAGCAAAACCCAATGTGAAAACAAGAGGGGTGAGCTCCCCACAGTGGGGGGCAGGTAAGCAGGAAACTACTTGTGGGGAATAAGCAGGATTCCAGCTTCCAATGTGGAATTAATTTAGACTATCCTAGGTGTCTTAGAAAAAACTACCCCGTGCCCACAGAAACAGAAAGGAGGAAAGGAGGGAGATCCTGTTTGGAGCTTAAATATACAGTTGACAAAACCCGTGCTGCATTGAGGGGGGAGGGCCGGGAGGCGCCTGTCCCACTCACCCCCGCGACCCCCATGGAGGCTGAGCTGCCCTCATGGACCCTCCCGGGGCTCTGAAAGGTTTGACCCAAAACCACAGAACAAGGAGACTCTCGGGAGTCTTTCCAGCCCAGAGATTCCCCGGCCCTAAAACGAATTCAAGGAGGATTGAGTCCCACTAAGTCACATACTCATTGAGGACAGCAATTGTGTCCTCTTTTTCCAGCCCCCCCACCTCAGCGCTGAACAGAGCAGAGGGCAAAGCTGGAGTTGGCCCTCAACAGGACGAGCAAGCTGGTGGCAGCTCACAGATGGAGCTCAGGTCACTGCAGGTACATGCCAGGCACCGTGCTACATCCTGGGGCTGAGGAACGCAAAGAGAAGTGAAGAAAACCTCTGCCCATGACTTCCCAGTGTGGGGACGTGGGTCCATGTGTGCCTGCCCTTTGATTCCAGTGGGCTCTGGGGTGAAACTGCCCGAGTCCAAATCCCAGCTGAGCTTCTTCCCAGCTGTGGGACCCCAGGAAGCCGCCTACCCTCTTGCTGAAAGGAGGCTGCACCGCCTTCCTCACAGAGTCATGGTGCACAATACATGAGAATACGTGAGGCTTAGGACAGTGCCCGCATACAGGAAAGGCTCGAGAAATGTCTGCCACCACACTCCGGAGGCTGCCATCGCCAGCCCTGTGCCATGAGGAAGCTGCTCTCCGCCCCGCACCAGGTCTGCTGCCCCCAGCAGCCCGTCCCCCGGGGTCTCCTGAGGCCAGCCAGTGGACGGGTCAGCCCCTGCTCACCTCGCCATCCTCCAGCACTACCGTCTGATTCTTTAGGTTGATCTCAACCACCCGGCCCTGCCGGAAGCTTTCCTTGTAGCTCACCGAGTAGGAAATAAATGTCTTTTTGGCAAACCCTGGGGAGTGGACGCAGAAGAGGTCACAGTGTAAAATGGGCTTGCCCGCAAGAGGCCAAAATAACTCAGAACCTCTCCTGAGCTACATACCAACAGGGGGGCCCTTGGCCAAACAGTGGGGCCAGTGGTATACCCGGGGCACCCACCACCCCCTACGGTGCCAGCCTGGGCCTCGGGTCCTCAGGGAAGCTCAGGCTCTTACTTCTGGGTCTTTGGTATGGCAGCTGCTTAAGATTCTCCAGAATCTGTCTAGTGGTAGAATTTAGGCACCTGGCCCTTGTGGAGAAAACCACCCCCAGACCCGCAGAGTGCTAAGACCACTCCCACCAAGAAAGCCCCAGAAAGAGCCCGTTACCACTCTCCACGGAGGCCCGGAGGGCAGCCACGTTGTGGTGGAAGGAGTCCTTCATGTCCACCAGCGTGAAGGACACATTCAGTGCCTGCAGCTGGCTGGCGGCCGCAATCCCGCCGAAGCCCCCGCCCACGATCACCACGTGCACACCTCTCACGTCCATGGACACCTGGGACCCCATCTCGAACCAGCACTGCAGGGACAGAGGGAGAGACCACATCAGAGTTAGGGGGGGCCGTAAGGCTGGGAGGGCAGGGGTGAGCCCCCAGCAAAAAAGGCCTCAAGTGCCAAGACTTGACCTTTTTCATTTATGTAATCACCTGTTAAGATTTTAATTGTAAAATGTAAATTCCAAAGAAACAGAGGTATCATAATTCCATCCTGTCACCCAACCACCTAGTACTAATCTCCAAGGCATCCACTGTCACCGGGTTTATATGAATCCTTCCAGAGACATCCTGTGTACCTACAATCATAATTATTTCTGCACACATTAAACTGTTCTGCACTTCTTCCCCCCCACTCAATATTTTTGCTCACTCATCAACATCATTTAATTGAGCGCCTGCTCTTTGATGTGCTCTGTGCCATGGATCCCATGGACAGAGACAGAGAGACAGACAGAGGTGGTCCCTGCCCTGGTAAAGGGCCCAGTGGGAAGCTGCTCAGGTGCGTAGTCACAGAAATGGTGGGCACACCTGTGGGGAACAGGGAACACAGGCCACATCCAAGGAACTAAACAAAATTCTTTAGGCCTCGCACTAAGCAAACACTGCGACCAGCTGCTGCCTGCTCATGGATCGCCAGCTTAGCCCCAGGTCTAGGGAGATCAGTTGACAGGTTATGACAATCAACCTGCAAAACAGAGTGTGGCGTGACCAAGGGCCTGACAGTGGCGGGGGCGGGGGGAGGGGGGGCGCCTGCAGTGTTGATGCCCTGAGCATTCCTGGGTCCACGGAGACGCGCCAGGGACGGCCGCGCGACAACCCCCAGGACGCATGGGGAAGAAGAAATGTCTGCTATGAAAAGAAATGGTGCTGGTTCAAGACCGAGGAGGAATGCCTGCTGGCCGGAAAGGCTTCGGGGAGAAGGGCTGATCGTGCGGGCTTCGGTGGCAGGGAGCGGGAGCAAGTCCTGCTTGATGCCAGGGACAGGCGAGCTGCGGTTAATGAGAGTGTCTGCAGAGGGCACAGGGCCGGGACTGCAGGCCAAGTGTGCCCCAGGCTCACGCCCTGGAGCAGCCTGGCCACTGCCCAGCAATGTTGGTTCCGTTTCTGAGGAGTTAAAATTCAAAAACGCTTGGCCCAGAGCTGGACATTGGAGGACGTCTGAGGCAGAGGACAGCACAGGGCTGGGCCACTAGATGCTGGACTGCTGAGCACAGAGGAAAAGGAGAAGGTGGCAAAGCTTTCCTGGACTTCCCCAGCCAGCCTGAGAAGCTATCTACGAGGCTTGCCCTTCAAAGGCCTAGGCCACCTGGCGCATCCCAGAGTCCGTCCCTTTCGAGGGCAGAGGGGCCAGCCTGGGGCTGTAGTCAAAGGCCTTGAGAAGGAAGCTTAGCCCCTGAGAAGGAAGCTCATGGCAGGGCCTCAGGGCTCCGCAGTGTGGGAGCCAGCCACCGGAGGAGCAACCTTCACTGCAGCTGAGATCCTGAGAGCAGCGCGGGTTTGCTCGGAGAGGCTGGCTAGAGGCGACGGCAACCAGACCTCCTCCTTGCTTGTGCTGGGCTCTACAGAGATGCAGAAATACACCAGGCTGCCAAGGAGAGACACTAAAGGAAGAAGCAGAGCACACACTGCACAGAAGGCAGCAAGAGAGGCCCAAAGGCTGCTGTGGGCTTCAGGGAAGGGAGGTTCACAGTGGGGAGTGACGGGGGGTGGCAAGGAAGGAGGATATGGACTCGGGCCAACCTTGAAGGACCCACAGCAAGCTACCCAAAGGCCTGATGGAGAAGCGTGTTCCAGCCCATCTGGGGCCCTCTCGGGCAGCACCAAAAGCTGCTGGGAGACCACCCTCTGTCCCGCATCATCTGTGTGGCCTGGGGCACAACCCCTCCCCTCTCTGGGCCTCCATTTACCCCCTGTAATGGGAGGGGACACCCTAAGTTGTCCTTGCACACACAGGTTTCCAAGACACAGTGGCCCCGAAGACGGTCCCCACAGTTACGGGGGCAGCTTGTGGTTGGACCTCCAGGCACCGTTCTTGTTGATATTCAAATGCCCACTGCCTAATTTTTCCCCTGGTGAGGGAGGTAGATCTAGCAGAGACGATTGGAGGGGCGTTAGCTTGTTTCTCACAGACTAAATGGTCCCCAATTCATTTAGGTATGTGCATTCTACCCATTTACAGATGAGGAAGCCACCCTCAGCAGGGCAGGGGCCAGGACAAGTCCCCCGCAGGCAGTGCCAACTTCACTGCCTCAGGCCCTCAGAAAGGTTGTCCAGAGGCAGCCCCCTGAGTGGTCGTCAGGCTGAATCTACCCACTGGGCCAGACGGAGAATGTCTCCTCGGAGGAAAACCCACGACAGCCCAAGGGCCCAGCCGGGGGTCAAGAAAAAAACCAGCAGAGCAGAGCCTGGGAATGTGGCAGCCGAGCGGCAGGCTGGGGAGGGGGACGTTTCCTTTGCGCCCTTCAGCACAGCCCCCTCTGTGCCAGCCTGCACTTGGGCCCAGCAAACAGTGAGAAAGTCAGGGAAACACCCAGAGAGCTCTGCTTCCACGCTGGCTGGGCACAGGCCCAAGAGAGGGCGTCTCCTACGGGTCAGGTCATGCTGGACCACCCAGAGAAGCTCAAGGAGCAGCCTTAGAAAATACCTGGGCCGGGGACCTTCTCCACAAAAGTCCCTACTGCACTTTGGCCAAGAAGTTCAGTGGCAGAAAGGGAGGCTCAAGATGAGCTCAGGGAACAAGGTGGGTTGGCCAGAAGGGCTGGTGACAGGGGCTGCACACACAGGGTGCCTGTCACACCAGGACAGTGCTCTGGCCTGCATGTTCGGCAGTTCCAACCTCCAGGCCTGCCCTGGGCCCCTCAGAGGGTCCCCTTCCTGGGGAAGAAAGTGAGCCCAGTTACCCCAGAGCAGGCCCAAGAGGCAGTGAACTGGCCCAGGATCAACTGGCTTCCCCAAAGGGCAAACCCTGGCCCACCCAACCACAGACACCCTCAGCGAAAGCAAACCGCCTCTGGAGTCGCGATGGTGGTTCTGGGGCCTGGAGGCACACCCAGGCCCACGAGGGACGGGATGAGGAGAGGGGAGGTCTTTTTATCCTCCAAGCTGCTGGAATCCTCTCCTGGAACCTGCTCTTCTCTCTCCTCTACTGACCTCTGGTCCTCTGACACTCCCACCAGGGGACCCATGGGCTGGCGGCTCCCCAGCTGATTCCACCCTCCTCCTCTGCAGCCTCCCTTACACAACACCCTCTTTTTCTTTTAATCCTCTCAGATGACATGTTTTATTGATTTTAGAGAGTGGAAGAGAGAAGGGTACGGGGAGAGAGAAACATTGATGTGAGAGAGAAACATCGATCAGCTGCCTCCCCTACACACTTCAATCAGGGATAGAACCCACAACCTAGGTCCGTGCCCTGACTGGGAACCAAACCCACAACCTTTTTGGTGCACATGACGACGCTCCAACCAAGTAAGCCACTTGGCCTGGGCTAGCGTGAATGAGTTTTTACATGAAAAGTCTGTCTACAATTTGTCTACATACCCATAGAATGTACAAGACCAAGAGTGAATCTTAATGTAAATTTTGGTTTTCAGTAATTGTGTCCATGCATGTTCATCAGCTGTAACAACTGTACCACTCTGGTGGGGGATGTTGATAATGGAGGAGGCCATGCACGTGTGAGGCCTGGGGGGGGGGCATGTGAAGAATCTCTACACCTTCCCCTCAATTTTGCTGTGAACCTAACACTACAGTAATAAAGTCCTTTAAAAAGAAAGTCTGTCCATGAAAAAGTCAGAGGATAGAACAGTATGGGGAGCCAATCCCACTTATGGGCAATCAGACAAGTGAACCTAGCTACATATATACACATACCTGTCATGATTACAGCAGCTAGCATTCATTGCACTTTTACCCGTATCTTTGCATTGAAAACTATGAGTTTTCCTCCCTGTTTTTGGAAAGAAAGTTAGTAATTTGCCCAAGTTCAATCTTCACAGCCTGATAGACCTGCATTCTAAACCAAAATTCACATAGTGCTCCCAGATGATGTTTTTACTTTCTTCTTTGAGCTTATTTATTTATTTATTTAATTGGGGGGGGGGTATTGCTTGAATATTTCTAAACAACTGTGTCACTTTTACAGAAATAATAATGCTTTAACAGGGCAGACCTCCTACCATCTACTTTTTTAATTGAGATATTATTCATATAAAATTGACTATTTTAAAGTGTACAATTCAGTGGTTCCTAGTACACTCATAACATGTGACTATCACCATGACTTAATACCAGCACATTTTCATCGCCCTAAAGGAAAAAAAAACAAAGACAAAAAGACACCCATTAGCAGTCATTCCCCATTCCCTCCTCCCTACAGGCCCTGGCAACCGCTAATCTTTTTGTTGCTACTGGTTCACCTGTTCCGTACCTTTTCTACTTTTCTGACTGGTTTCTTTGGCTTAGCATAATGGTTTCAAAATTCGTTCAAGCTTTAGCACATATCAGCACTTCATTCCTTTTTATGACTGAGTAACATTCCACTGCATGGAGATACCACATTTTGTTTATCCACCCATCAGTTGGTGTTCATTTGAGTTGTTTTCATCTTTTGGCTAATGTGAATAATGCTGCTATGAACATTCATGTACAAGTTTTTCTGTAAACATGTTTTTAATTCTCTTGAGTACGTACCTCGGAGTGGAGTTGCTCAGTCCTATGGTAACTCTGGATTTAACTTTTTGAGAAACTGCCAAACTTACCACTGATTTTGAACTGAACATCAAGCCAAAGGAGAAAGCACAGAGACTCTTAGTTAAACCTGCCCAGATTTAGGAAGGTAAGCATAAAAGAAGGTCCAAGAGAACAAATCCTAACTGTCCAGCAACTCCTAAGGAAATTTACCTCTGCTCCTCCCCCAACACACACACACAAATCTGGTTTACACTGGAATTTTCTCAGTAAATCCTGTTTTCTCTACCAAGAATGCCCAGCCTGAACCCAGGGGGATTCTTCTGTAATAAAAGAAGAGGCTTTTGGGAATCTACTGAAAAACAAGGAAGTGACATTTATGCCAAAGTTGTAGAGAGGTCATGCCTCAGAAGACACACAGCAGGAACCATGTGGACTCTGATCAATGCAAAGACATCGTCCAGGATTGCCACATAGAGATTATGAATACAACACGCAGCTTTCTGAGTCCTTGCTGACTATGCCCAAGGTGGATCTACAGCCCTGTTTCCAGAGTGGCCATCCTGGGTGAGAGGGCCAGTAGAGTGTGACTCGGCACCACGGATGTCCCCTGTCCATCCGAAGAGGGCGAGAAGCCCTCAGCTTCACTCACTGGACACCAGGGAATAGGTTGAGAGTGGGCATTCCATGGTCCGTTCCCCAGGGGATACATGCCAAATATAACCCAAAAAAGACCAATTTCTGAAAGGGACTCAAAGTTTGATAAAGAGGCTCATCCTTTCCTGCCCTAGATGAGGGCAGCTCTGGGCAGACCGGCTCATTCCAGGGTTACACACACTCCTAGCACCAAAAACCCAGGCCACAAAACTCATACCTACTCCTCCTGAGAGCTGGTCACTCTGTGGTTCCCGTAACAACCCCTCGGTCTGCTCACCTCCTGTGTCTGGATCCCGGCTTTCTTATTTCACCACCAGCCCTGGTCAGCGCTGCCACTGACTGCTGGGGAGTCCTGAACAAGGCCAGGCCCTACTGAGCAGCAGCCTCCCCCTAAAAGGGAGGGCCTCCAGATTTGGGGGTACACAACGGGCTTCTCTCCAGGTGCTGGGGCAAGCGTGGGTGGGGCCTGAGAGCTTGGGGCTTGCACACCTGCATCCTCGAGCACATACACACAAACACTAAAATCCAAGCAGGCCTCCTTGGTATTTAGATATTTTACAAGTGACATTTGAACACAAGACACACCTGGAATGCCTGGAAGAGCCTCCCCAAACTATGTCTGACGTTGTGCCACGTGCCTGTCTCCAGTGAGATAATCAGATCGAGAGTGTCTCTCCCCTCCACACCCTCTCCGGGGGTCAAAGGGACTGTTAGAGCAGATGAGGTGTGATTAGTGGGCGGTGTTGGAAGGAAAGCACCCACCATCACCCACAAAAATCAGCTCCTGGTAGATTTCAGGCATCCTGGGCTTCCCCAGTCGCATTGGAGTTAGTTCAGTGCCCGCTGGCCTCCATCTCTGCGGAGCCTGGGGCTTCGTGGAGAGGAATGGACCTCCTAGTGTAACCCAGAGCCTGTGGGCACCGGGTAACTTGGGTATTTCTGTCCTAGAGACAGAGGCTTTCCTACTTCCCTGGGACACCCTCTTCAGCTTCCAACCAGCAGTGACCCTTGGGGCTGGTTGCAGGGTTGGGGCGGGGTGGTGGTGAATGAGGGAGCCCGTCTTACCTGGGAAGACTTAGCTGTAAGCTGGGAGTGGGGGGCACAGAAAGAGTTTGTGGTGCCCTCAGGGGAGTACACCGCCCCCATTGTGTTCTGGGGAACTGGGGTGGTGCAGGCCCAAGCTCTGTGTCCTAGATCAGTGATTTTCAACCGATGTGCTGCAAGAATGTTTAAAACATGCAATAGCTGCCTATTTGGTCAGGGGCACTGACCTCTTTTCCCTTTGACTGTCAAATTAAAAAATGACAACAGCCAACACAACAACAGCCATCCAGTGTGAATGAATCAAAATTATACCTATTTCCTGTCAGACTGACAAAAACTATATTTTTTGGTGTGCTGCAGAATTTTAGTAATTAGTTTGTCTGCCATGAGATGAAAAAGGTTGAAAATCACTGTCCCAGACAACCGCCCCTTCCTCCCAAAGCCACAGCCCCCGCGCACTGACCTCCTAGCTGGCCGTAGTGGTTGCCGTAGTGTTTTCCAGGCCCCGCGCCCCTGTTCCGAAGACCCCGACGAGGAGGACGCCCGGCGCTGCACTTCACACTCGGGCAGCCTCCCTCCACCGCGTAGCTCTGGCCGCCCGCTCCGGTGGCCTCCACCCGAGGCCCATCCCAGCCACGTGACTCGCCTGACCTTTGAACACGCCCGGCCACCCGCCTGAGGGCCTAGAAGGAACGACTCCTGCGGAGGGTCCCCGCCTGCCCTCTGGCGGTGGGAAGGGCACCAACCTTGAAACTGACGACCCCTAAGATTGATGCCGCCTGGCCCGGCACAAGCCCCCTTGGACTCTGCACAGGGTGTGGCCTTTCTGCCAGGAGCCGCGGGGACTACAGAGGGCGGGCTCCCGGGCAGCGGAGTGACTCTGCCACCTCGGGCGGATTACCAGCCTCCTGCCTTTAAGCGTGTAATAATGCCGCAAATCCAGTGGAGCGCCTCTGCGAGCCTGGCCCGGGGCTAGGCGCTGGGAGATAAAAATGGAAAACAAAACGGGCAAGATTTCTGCCTTTCTCCCGATGAGGTTTGATAAAGAAAGACAATACATTAAACATGTATCACTCATCGAAGTAAGAAAAACGGGGGCGGGAGTTGGGGGTGTGGGTAGGAGGGGAAGGATTCCAAAGCCTCTCTGCAAAGAAGAGGAGAACCCTGGACAGAGAGAAGACAAATGTTCTCGGGGTGAGCGGACGCAGAGGCAAGACAAAATTGCTGAGAGCAAGGGCACAGCGTGGGCAGGGCGATACACTCCTGTCCCGCAGACCCTGATGCAGACCTCCCTGTCATCCCAGGGGCAATGGGATCTGCCACAGCAGGATTTTAAGCAGAAGAGTGACGTCCGAGTTATGATCTGTGGTGAAAGGATGGGGGATTGGATGGGCTGCCTGAAATTGGAGAGCTAGTTGGGGGCGCTGGGGCGGGGAGCTTGAACTAAGTAGGGTATGTAAAGAAATGGACTGATGCAAGCTACAGCCTGGACCTAGGATCAAGCTAATTTGGCGACAGATAAACCATCTTCCATTTTATGCAAATATTAACACCTACCCTAAGAGTTTTGAAAAAGATTCAATGAGCCCTGACTTGTGTGGCTTGGTTGAGGGTCCTACCACAAAAAAATTGCCGGTTCAATTCCCAGTCAGGGCACCTGCCTGGCTTGCAGGTTAGTCCCTGGTCACCTGATCAGGGCACCTACAAGAGGTAATGGATCAATGTTTCTCACATCAATGTTTCTCTCCCACTCTTTCCCCCTCCCTTCCTCTCTCTCTCTAAAAATAAATAGTATCTTTTTAAAAATTCTTTAAGAAGGAAAAGATTCAATGAGATCAAGTATGAGAAGTGTTTTAGTGCTGTGTCTGGCACACATCGGCAACACATACACAGCAGCCAGTTTGCCCGAGATTACGTTTATTTTTGAGAGAGAGAGGGAGAGAGAGAGAGACATCGACACATCGACGTGAGAAAAATTGATCAGTTGCGGATCAAACCCCACAACCTAGGTACGTGCCCTGATAGGGAATCTAACTACAACCTCCTGGTATACGGGACAACACTCCAAACCACTGAGCAACCCTGCCAGGGCTCCAATGCTCTTTTGAATACTGCCCTTCGCCGTCCTGGGTTTTCATGAATGTTTATACTAGAAGTGGCCCTCTCTGTACCTCTTCCAAAGGCTATGGTCAAAGACCTTGTATCCAGTAGCCCTGGCATAGGGAGCGCTGTGATCAATTCCATCTAGAAGCTGGTGCCCAGAATCATCTCGTACTGAGAGAGGAGCTGACATGCTCCTGTGAGCACCACAGTCTCATTATTAGCCTACGAAGCCCAAGTTTCCTCGTCCACTTCTCTGACGTCCTTGCCTCTCCTCCTATCCCAGCTGGCACTCTGCCCCATGACTGTAGGCTGAAGAAGGGAATACAGCGAGAGGTGTGGGAGTCTCCACATCCTTCCCACGGCCCCAGGGGACCCAAAAGAGCAATGGGGCCCCAATGTGGATGCAGAAAGCTTGTGGGCCCTGCCCATCCTAAACCAGCTCACAGGGATCGATCAGAGAGCCATGAGTTGGACTCGATGCTTCAGGCACAGCAAGCCTTGTGTTTGTCCTGGGCTTGACAAATTACCCAATAGTTTATCTCCTTTTGTCCCTCCTGAAACCCCTACAGGAAAGCAGGGTGGGGATTAAACTCTTGACACCTAGGAGAGCGACAACCATCCTTGAACAGCTCTTTGGGGCAGAGACCTCCTGTGGCTGGACTTTGAGTCCCCAGCATCTGATGCTGACCCAGCACCTGGTTCTCTAGGAGTTCACTGATGTTTGCTTACCATAAAATTCCCTCTTACAAAGTGTACAATTCAGTGATGTGAAGGTTGTGCAACCGTCACCGTTACCTAACTCCAGGAGGTCACCCCGCTCCCTCCCTCCACCCAGCCCCTAGCAACCAGAATGATGCATTTCTAATGAATCATTCCTACCAGTAGTCTAGAAAAACAATAGCTAATATTTATTGAAAACAAACTAAGTGCTTTGGATAGCTTCTCAAATTTAATTTTCACACGGGTCCTCCAAGGTTAGTTTTATTAATCTCTATTTCACAGATTGAGCAAACTGAGGCTCATAAGCTAAGAACTTAGGCAAAGTCACACAGCTAGTAAAGCCGAGGAGCGGGGCCTTGATGCTAGTGCCAGGAAGCCCCTCAGCAGGGCATCATTCCTAAGGGGGCCGGAGGTCACTGAGCAGGGAAAAGAGTCTCAACTGTGAGTCCAGCAGGCACTGGAAATTTACTGGGCACATGCCCTGGCCCTGTGCGAGACAAAGGTAAACAGAGCGCTACAGCCCGCCCTGGGGCTTGGGAAGGTCAAGGGAGGCTTGGGGTAGCCCTGGGCCTTGGCAGATGAAGGGGATTCCAATGGGCAGAGTGCAAGGGCAGGACACTAAAAATCACAGCACAAACCTGAAGCCAGGAGGGAGGAGAGAGAGGTATGCAGTGACCCCACACCGGGCTTGGGGCATCGCATGTCAGAACTGGTAGCCCATCTCCAAACACCTACCCCAGACCACAAAAATCAGGGAAGATGTCTGTCATTCAAAATCTTGGCAACCAGAGGACACCTTGATCCACGAGAGGGAAGCGGGTCTTGGTGCAGCTCCTCGTGCACCCTCGCCGCCGCAGCCCACCCCACGCCGCTCCTCCCTTCCCACTTGACAGCGCCTGCAGTTTGGGAAGAGAACGTCAGGGCTCCTTGCCTAACAAAGGACTTTTGCCCGAATTTCCAGGGGCCGGAGGTAGTGGAAGGACCAGTTTGGCATGAGAATATCCTGTGAGATCAAACCCCACTCAGAAAGTTGGACAGAAGAGGTGTTTTTCCATGCTTCGTGCTTATTACCAATTCAGCTCTCAAAACCAAAAGGAAAAAAAAAAACAATATGGTATGTACAAGGATAGAGTTCCCCCTGCAGGTCCTGTTTATTCCCAAACCCCAACCGGACTCATTCTAACCACCCCCGACCCCATCTCCGCCAAGATTCCTGAGACCCATTGTATGGGCTGAAAATTAAGGCACTGCGTCAGAATGCCCCTGTAGGTCAATGACACCTGACATATGAAGACCCGGGAGTCCTGACTTCCGAGCACTCTGCCTCCCTATAGATCTGGCAGAACAGGGAGATTCCTTTCCCTTGTCTCCAGTCTTCAGAGCCGGGTTTCTCTGCCCAGGTTTTCTGAGGAAGCGCCAGTGCTCCATCAGCCTGCTGATTCTGACAGAGAGCAGGGAGGAGCCAAGGCCCCAGGGAAGCAACTGCTCCAGTGGCCAGCGGCCAGCGGGAGACAGGGAATGGACTCGAAACCAGGGCTGGGCCTGCCTTCCCACCAACTGCCAGGACCAGGTCTGTTGTGCAGTTGTGCTGGGCTCCCCAGCTGGGGAGAAACAGAGCTGAGTTAGTGCTGGGGACAGAGAGGTGGGGGTTGAAAAAAGCACCCCCAAGACGGGCTACCGGCTTGGAGACCCACGGGGCTGAAGTTTGATCCAGACTCCGGGCGGAACAAGGCAGGCGGTGATGGGAGGCTGCCCAGCTGGGGCGTGCCGGGTCAGGGTCCTGAGGCTGCTGTCCCCTTGGCCCTTCCCATGGCATTAAATGGTCGCTCTTCTCTCCCGCGGGTGACACAGGCTCAGAGCTTGCTCCGCAGGGCCTCTGTCAGGGGCCGCTGCAGCCGCCATACCACCCTCACTGGCTCAGCGACGTGGTCCAGCTCTCGGAGGCCGCTCAGGTCGCCCGTCTGGCTGTACTGCTGCAGGGCCGGCTGGAGCACGGTGATGGGAATGCTGAAGTTCAGGTGCGGGTAGGTGGCCCCCGTGTTATTGTCCCGGGTGTTGCTGGCGACAATGCCTGTTGAGGAGTCAGAGAGGAAAAGGGGCTGTGAGCCAGGACACAGAGAGAGAGATGGATGGGAAGGGAGGCCCATTGCCCATCTTGGAGACCTATGCCTATTGGGGGCTTGAAGGCCCCTCACAGTGACAGATGCCATGCTTTCTTTCACAGACACCAGCTCCCCAAATCCTGGTCCCCCTTCCTGCCTTAACTTTCTCAACATGATCAGTATCTAACACACTGTATTTCACTTACTTTGTTACCTTTCTCTCCCACTAGTGTCAGCTCCGCAAGAGCAGGACTTTTGTGTTTTGTTCTTGCAGCCTCCCCAGACCTAGAACAGCGCCCAGCACGGAGGCCTTCGTATATACTTGCTGAGTGGATGAATAAAGGAACCAAACCCACCGACACATTTTGTTTGGCCTGCTTACTGTGCATGTGTGTGGGCACGTGTACGCATTTATTTTTTCAGGCGATTTTAGACTTACAGAAGCCTTGCCAAAATAGTACGGAGTTCCTGCATAGCCTCCTTCACCCAGCTTTCCCTTCCGCTAACATCTTATGTCCCCATAAAACATTGATCTAAACCAACAAATTAACCAATGCTACTAACTAAAGCACAGAACTCACATGGATTTCACCAGTGTTTCCACTACTGCGCTTTTCTGTTCTAGGATCAATCCAGTATCCCACACAGCATTTAGTTGTCACGTCTCCTAAGTCTCCTCCAATCTGGGCCAGTTCCATAGTCTTTCTTTATCTTTCGTGGCCTTGACACTTTAAAGAGTAGAGGTCTCTTATTTTGTAGAATGTCCCTCAGTTGGGGTTTACCTGATGTCTTCTCAGGTTAAGATTAAGCTCACACATTATCAAGAACACCGCAGAAGCGATGCCTCTCGGTGCTTCCTATCAGGAGGCACATGATGTCTGTAAGAATGACCTGAGATGTTAACCTTTGATCACTTGCCTAAGGTGGTTATCTCCCAGGTTTCTCCACTGTAGACTTACTATTTTCCCCTGTGTAAAGCACTAAATATCTTATGGTTAGACAAATATCCTGTTTCTATTTAAACTCTTGCCCACTGATTTTAGCATCTATCGGTGGATTCTGTCTGCAGCAATTCTTACTGTGGTGACCCAATAGTGATTTTCTATTTCCCTCACTTCTTCTGCATTTATTAATTGGAAATCATCTGTAAGAAAGAGCTGTTGCCTGTCTCCATTTTAAAATGTATCGGGTTATTTATTTATGGCAGTGTGGACACATGGTTATTCATTCTTATCTTTGAGTTATAATCAAATCCTATTGCTATTCGTTTTGTTGCTTAAGTCATTCCAATGGGATCTCCTTCAAGTAGGTTCTTGGTTCTTTCAGTATTTGACATGTACAATCATTTCACGGTTATTCGTACTTCCTTCCTTTCCAGCACAAGGTGCTCCAGGCTCATCTTAGATTTTCCCAGACCCTGTCCGGGTATCACCCAGTTCCCAGCTCCTTTTGTTAGAGACTGGCTCTTAGAAAAGAAGACCTGGTTTCTTGGTGTGTTCATTGCAATGGGTATCACAGCAGACAGAGCTGGAATATATATATTAACTTGTGCATACATACACATATATATTTATTTCTGTATGCACTTATCTGTATGAATTTTTTTAAAGGCATGGTTGGTTGACTTTATTAGTACACTACGATTAAAGAAATAAGTAAATCTATTGTATCCAGCAAGAGCAAGACCTCTTGCTACGGGAGAAAGCGATCAGAAATAAGAGAAGGGAAGCACGCATGACCCCTCTGTGGGCTGGACCACAGCTGGGCAGTGGAGGTGTCCATACGGGTTCATGTTGGCTGTTTTTTTTTAATAGACCTTTTTTAAAACAAACCAAAAAACCCTGAATTAGTTACCAAAATCTAAAAATTGAAAGATGTCACCATATATTTATTTTTTGAAAAAAGAGGGTTCACAGCTTCCTGTGAAAAACTGGCGATGGGCCAATGTTAGCTCATATCCCTTCATAATATGGCAACAATGTATTGGAGCTGAGTGGTGCTCACCCCAGTTCACCTTGACTCTCCACTCCATGTTGTCTTCACTCATTCATTCCCTTTACCTGCCCAGCCTCTGTGAGCTTTGGAGTTTGTGACCCTTGGACTAACCCAACTCCCGAGTTTCACGGATTGAATGAGATCCAATGATTTGCCTAATATCACACTGTAGCTTAGTGGCAGAGAAGGAACCAGAACCCAGACATCTTCCCTTGCAGCTCAGCGTCTGCCTCCTTTCATCCTCAGAAGCAGAATGGCCTGAATACCTTGGCTAACTACTTCCTGAGCATAATGGCACCATCTTCCCAGACAGGGGGTGGACATCCAGCACTCACTAGACGGGGCTGAGGCTCTGGCCAGGAAAGGCTGGGAGAGGGCCAAGAAGCTGCTTACCCAGGAGGTTCCCTGAGCAGGTAGAGAAGAGGGGTCCCCCACTGGAGCCACCATGCACAGCACATGTGCTCTGCAGCATCACTGGAGTGTCTTCCACCTGCACCACAGCTGACAGGATGCCCGAGGTCACCGAGGGCCCGCAAGCCTGGCCAAAAACGCCAAAGCCCACCACGCTGACAGCCTCGCCTGACAGAGAGGGAAGAAGGATGAAGCTGCAAGGCCGCCTCCTCTGTCTGCAGGACTATCCTCCCCAATCTCATTCCTGCCCTCTCCGAAGTTCCCGACACGCTGCCCTTCGAGGTCTTCTGCTCCGATACTCCTGCCTTCAGAGAGCCTTCCCTAGGTCCCCACAGGAAGAGGCTGGGACCGCCACTGAGCTGCCAGCACTGCACCTGCTCAGCCACTTCTCAATGCCAGGCTGTTCCTCAGCCCTCTGTCCCCTGCTAGAGGGGGCAGTCACTTTTTGGTGTACATAGAACCTAGTTAGTTGTTCAATAAATGTTTGTAGAATTAACATCCATCTGCTCCTGGGACTAAGAAGTCTCTTGGTGAAAAAATGGTGATGATGATTACAAAACCTTCCTTTACCAAGTGTTTGACTACACAGGGCGGGGAGCTGAGTGCTTTCCAGACAACATGTCACCCAGGCCTCACAACACCCAGGAGTGGGACACTATCTCCAGTTACGGATGTGGAAACTGAGCCAGAGAACATTGAGTTGCCGGTCCCAGGACACAGGACTAGTAAGTGGCAGCAGAGATGCCAGTTCAGAGAGCGCGTGCTCTTTGTAGTTATATCACACTGCATGCACAAAGTGAGACCTCTGCGACTTTTGTGGCAGCATCACAAAGCCTTTTACTCGTATCAGGCCACTGTAGCCTTGAAAGAGCAACATTTGATGAGCCTGCGGCGGTGAGGAGCCTCCAAGTCTCCGCGCCTCCATGCTACACTGCCACAGGAAACAGGCGCGCCTTATCCATAGCTGGGGATAAGCATGTCTCTCAGCATGTTGGGCATGCTGGGCACAAGAAGGGAAGCCTCCAAGAGCATCTCTGGCCAAAGCACGGTTCATAGGATGATTTCATGCCAGCCTGATGCCACCCTGACTTACTAGTCCAGCAGGAGTGGGGAGGGAGTTGCCCTGGGGGCTGGCTCCCTGATGTGCAGGGTTCGAATGTCCAACAGTGACTCTCCTCCCACAGGTCCACCCCAGATCAGAGGGCCCCTCTGTCCTTTACCTTCGTGAAAATGCTCAGTGGGCACAGGCATGTGGACACCCTCTAGTTCCTTCTCCAGGCTCACCACTGCTATGTCATACGGAGATGTCTCCTGAGTGGCAAACACCACATGTCCCCAGATCTTGGCACTCCTGGGAGCAAGGGAAAGGAAATGACAGGCTAGATTCCTGACCCTTTAGCACTGGGAGGAAGCAAGGGGATGAGTGACAGTAACCGTCATGGATTTGGGAGTCAAAAGACCTGGGATCTGGTGTCAGTCCTGAGATGGACCGTGCCAGCAACTCCAGGCACATCATTTAACGCAGTCTTTCCAAACGCGATTGACCAATTGCAAAGTTTTGTGCACGTCACCATGATCATAAACACCTGACACCTAGTGAGCACTGTGGGTCAGATCCAGTGTTAAGGCTCTATGAACATCATTCATTCAGTCCTCACAGCATTCCTATGAACTAGACAATGACATTATCTCCACTTTGGATAGTGTATTTGAGACCCAGAGAGGTGATATAACTTGCCCGAGGTCACACAGTAAGTGATAGGAGCCAGAGCAAACATGCCCAGCATTTTCCTTCACAGCTTCATTTGATATGGACAATCCTGTCAATTGGTGGGTCAGGCATGATATGATTTCACCCCTCTGGGTCCTTGTTTACAGAAATGTGGCCCTGTAGCACTTACTATGTGCCAGGCATTGTTTCAAGACTTTACATGTCAACTCAAGGCAAGGCAGCTTAGAAAGGTTAAGTGATTTGCCCAAGACCACATAGGGGCTTCCTGCTACACACTCTGTAGGGGTAGCTGCCAGCAGACCTCGTGGTTTCCTTAGGACCAAGAGTGGGGTGCGGGGCGAGGTATTTGGGACCACACAGACATCACAATACTCATCAATCATGGCTGTCCTGTCAGCCACCAGAAGGTACCTCTATGGCAAAGCCAGGCTGGGTTAACCTCAGAAATTCAGAAGGATTTTGAAAGACCTGAGCTGCAAGCCTGTGCTGAGCCAGGTACAGAAGAACATCAGGTATTAACACCAAGGTGCTATCCTGCTGTTTTGTTTTGGCCTAAGTTAAGCATCTGAAACTACAGAGGAAATAGAGCATGTACTAGAAAATCAACCAATAAGCCAAGGTCACTGACCCATGTCAGAGCAAGCAGAATTCAAGACTGCTTTTCCCTGAAGAGAGGGAACAAATGACAGTCTAAAGTCCCAACATGGTTGCCCACCAGGATCACCCAGATTGTTCAAAATCTGCCTGGGCCCCACTCCCATATTCTAATTACGTGGAACCCCACATCTGTAATTTTGATCCAGATGGGAAGCTCTGGTTAAGATCTGCAAGATTAGATGAACAGGCCCAACTCATTATCCAGGGAAAACAGCATCCTGGGCCCCTGGGACTTCACTACTACTATCAGGGGAATGGGGGGCAGGGCTAGGAAGTCTCTATTCAAAGGGCCTAGAGATGGGTGGGTTCAGGGGTATGAGACAGAGAAATTGCCCGCTAGACGGAGATCAGGCTGGGAAAAGAGGTCAAAGATGCCCAGGCAGGAATGCAGGCGCGGCCCATAATTCCCAAATCCAGAGTTGTTTGTTATCTTGCCCAAGCCCCATTCGGTCCCTCCCAAGAGGCCCAGCATCTCCTACACCGGGGTTCTGGGTATCAAGGATGTGAGGGTAGGGGAGGATTTCAAATCATCAGCATGACGCTAAAAGGCCTCCATAATCCTGAGGATTAAGACGTGAGACGTAAAACCCAGACGTTAGACCTGGTGAGGGGGTACAGTGGGAGCACCATTGCGGGTCTTACTTAGGCATGGTGGGGCGCACCAGGACTCTGGCCATCTCGCGGGGTGCCACATGCCGGCAGGTCACCATGAGGCGGGGCGCCACGACCACTCCAGAGCCCCAGACGGTGCCACACTCCACCAGCACGGCTGCGGCTGCCCACGGAGGCCCGGGGTCTTGGAGGGGCAGACCCCAAGGGGCGCCCACTTCGGGGGGCAGGAGAGCGGCCAATGAAGCCGTGCTGGGACGCAGGCAGCGGAGCGCGACACGGGCGGCACGGAGTAGAGGTGCGGCAGCGCAAAGCAGTGTGAGGCCCACCCACTCGCGGGCCTTCCAGCAGAGGGGTGCCGCCACCAGCGCCACCAGTGCCCCCGCGTGTCGCACTGTGAACACGCCGCCACCCTCACTGCCAGGCAGGCAGCGCGCATCGGTGAGCAGTAGCGGGCCTGCCGCGTTGCTAAGGACGCCGTGGCTGAGCGTATTAAGAAAGATGTCCGGGCAGAAGGACCCGAACGGGGAGCCACAGGCCAGCAGCGGCGAGCCCTTGGGAACGGTCCCGAGAGGCACCACGGCCATTGCTGGCCTGAGCTCATCCGCTTTCTCCTCTGAGCCGTGCTTCACACGCAGCAGCGCGAACCAGCCCAGCGCTCTCAGCTGATCCTCCTCCTCATCCCCCGACATTTCGTCTTCCGGCGAAGAGCTCGCAAATCGCCACTGCTCTGTCGCCTCGCTCCCGAAGAGACGAGCGAAGTGGGCCCGGAAGTCCGGGCAGCTCAGCAGCAGCAGCAGCTCGGCAGGGTGTGGAGGCTGCAGGGGTCGTCCGCGGTGCCGGGCCGGCGGGCTGGGCTCCAGACTGGCGCACCCAGGCGTGCACAACCTGGGGCGTCCCCGCTCCGTGCGGCCTGTGGGACTCAAGGCCGTTGGGCCCCACTGCACGTGCAGGCGCAGGTCGTCGCTGCAACTGTCGCCAGGCAGGAAGGTGGCACCGGCCGCAGTCAGCACCCCGCTGCCAGCCCGCAGAAAGGGGGTGAAGATGCCACCGTGGCAAAGCACCAGGCCCGGGCTTTGATTCAGGATCACCCCGCTGCAGCTCCACGAGCCAGCCTCGGGTTGCCCGGCCCGTGAGGCGCTCACCACGCAGCCCGCCTGCTCGGCTACCCTCATGGCAGGACCCCACTGTCGGCCCATGCCTCGGGACGGTGTGGCTGGGCTTCGCGGAGAACCCGAGAGCGAGCTAGAACCTCAACCTACACCTGCGAGCCCCCTCTGCGAGCCCCTCAAAGCGCCACCCAGAGCTGGAAGCAAGAGGTGCAGTCACTGATTACGCTCTTCCTCATCCGGCCCAATTGGCTAAACCCAACTGGCCCGATTGGCTGGACCTGGAGCCAAGTCCCGATTGGCTGCTTAGGCTGACCCTCTCCTTTCCCCGCCCCTGTTGGTCACGCCACCTGTGCGCCACCTGTGCGTAGTAGAGGGCGCAGCAGTCCCCTAGGATGAGCCCAAGGAGAGTAACTGGCTCGCTGCTCTGCGGGGAAATTGGGAGGACGGGCAGAGGGCGGATCCCTCCGAGCCTCAGTCTCGTCTCTTCTTTGGGCTGCAGGGAATAGAAATAAGTGCCGACGTGGCTAGACTTGCCTGGGCCATGACAGCATCTGTCAGGATCTGCCTAGGTCTAGGCAATATTCAACCTCTGATGGGATAATACAGCCAAGAAATCCTTGGCCATTTCAATCTTTTTAAAATGTGTTAACTGACAATCCACGTGGAGGTCACAATTACACCTCGGGTCTTTTAATGCCAAAGCACAAAACGACAAATCCCATGGATTTGGATTTGCTCCTAATAAAATTGCCTTTTAAAAAAGTACTATGACAGTGTTTGAAATAAAAAATTTTAATTATACAAGCCTGTATTTTGCATTATGCACATTTTACACAATGACCCTCCCCCTCGGATTTATGTAGGTCAGGGGCAAAACGCTTTTTCTTTTCAAAAAGCCAGAGTGTAGTGTAGTTTTTACAGGCCATACATTGTCATACATACTCATATCTGCTGTCGTAGCACACAAAGGCCAAAGGAAGGGGGTGGCTGTGTTCTAACAAAACTTTACGGACACTAAAATTTGAATTTCATATAATTTTTATGTCACAAAATAACATTGTTTTTTCCTCATAGGCCATAAACAGCAAATCTGGTTTAGCCCAGGAGCTATAGTGTGCCATCCACGATGTAAGCAAACAGGAAACATCCCCACTTTTCCAAAGAATTATCCGAGTATGGAAGAGCATGACTGTTTTGAGGGGCTTCAGGATATCCCCACAGCAGTCACGAGCTAGACATTCACCACCATATCACTAAAATACGCATTTTAATAAGGCTACTTTAGTACCTATTTGTCAGCATCAATGAATAATATTCCACTACTAAAACAATACATTTCTGCCTCAATTTTTGGATAAAACTAATGCTGGCTGGTTGATCCGCAGCACAACAGAGGGTAACGCTCTGTATTCCCAGTACCAAACTTGTTTGAGAAAGGGAAACAATAACCCATTTTAGTATGAGGCAGGAAAGAAATTAGCAGTCTTCCCATAGCAAGCGCTGCTTTTGTCTGTTTTGGATCTGTGACGCAGATGGCTTGAGCACAGTAAACGCACTCAATTATTCCAACTACCTAGCAATTAAGAGTTTCTTTCTCTCGAGTCGTGATTCTCCCTTAGTGCCGCTCAAGCCTCCAGCATGTTTTATGTCAAGGTTTTTTTTGTTTATGGCACATTACACTGTTAAGTCCCAAGTCACAGCCAAAGAGCCAAGGTGGGATCCCTTTGAGTACTGGGCTCATTGACTCAGCCTTTCTCACGTTCCAGTCCAATTCAAGTAACACAAATGCATTATGAACATAGAACCCAAGGCCTCCTTTCATAGTAACATGGACATTGGTTTCAATCACAGGATGTCTCCAATAATTTTAAGTCAAAAAGAAACTATTGCATTTTGCTTCCCATTCTTTTAGGTTGGTCAAACAGTTCATTTAGTTTTTTCTGTACGATGGCTCTAGTAGTGCTTAGTTGTCTTTAACGTTATTCAAAACGATTTTTGTAAGATTATATTGTGACAGCTGTCATGTCAGCATGCATTTTTAAAAAAACATCAAAATTGGTGAAATTTTGTGCAGCCATTTTAATACTGAAGATCGGAGAAGATACGTAACATTTTCAGCATATTATGTTTTATTATCTCAAGAAGGGTAAAAACAAAACTGAAATGCAAAAATGATTTGTGCAGTATATGGTATGGTGCTGTGACTGATCAAACATGTCAAAAGTGGTTTGCGAAGTTTTTTTGTACTACTGACATTTTGGCCAAAGCTCAGTAGATAAATTCTTTGCTGTGGGGATGTCGTTTGAATTGAAAGATGTTTAGCATTCTCCCTGGCCCTTACCCACTAGAAGCCAATAGTGCACATACTCAAAATACCCAAATCAATAAAGTTACTGGTGAAAATGAAAAATTTGTCTACAGAAAAAAAAAACTAAAGAGACTTTTTGGCCAACCCAATATTTGTCCTGGTACTTTAGTTTAATCGCATTTGGGATTTTCTAAAAGCAGGTCTTCCTACAAGCCCACTAAATGCACAAGCACAGTTTCCATTCCTTCTCCCATTTTGCCAAATGTAGTATTCAACTGGCTCTCCCCAATTTTGTAGAAAATGATGAAATACAGCTAAATTGAATCCAGTCTTTGCTAGCGTATTAATACAAGACTTTGTTCAAAACACTGCCCTGTCTATCCCATCGCAGAGATGACTACCAATCCTGGGACCAGAGCATGTTCCAAGGCTCTCAAACAGTACTAAGTGTATTACTTCTAGTAGAATGTGTAAATTGGCTTAGCCTTTTGTTTTTTCCCGGTAGCAAGATTTAACTGTCTCACATCCATTGTACGTATTTCTTTCCATAAGTAGGAAAAATTTTGCTTTCCCCAGCACAACAAATGTCGTGATGTGTTTAAACTGAGAACAAACCAATGCAAAAAAAAAATAAAGGAGTTAAGACAGCAACTTTCTTTTAACTTTTTATTAAAATGCTTAGGCTACACACTGACTTTCTTTTGTAAATGACTGTTTACTCTTCCTGAAATAGGACATATATGCACTCTGATAAAACAGAATGAAAAGTCTCAATTCATGGGAGTTCCTGTACAAAGCTCTGAACCTCACTGTTAAGAGCCAAGCTCCTCACCGCAGTTTCTTTCTGCTCTGTTATTATAGGAACAGTGTTTTCTGTGGGGCAAGAAATAGACTAGTGCTATTTGACTACTTGACATTTCAATCCCCTCTTTCTCCAGTGGCCAAAATAAACCACTTTCACAAAGAGCTACTCTGCGTAGAATTCATAGGTTTCTAGCTTGCTACAAAGTGATTAGAGGGAAAGGGAAAAGAAGAAAAATGAGAAAACTAACACTGAAGCAATCATACTTCCTGTGTCTCTGGATAGAGAAGTATGGGTTACCTTTAGCCAAAGTCAATTGAAGGTATGCAAGTTAACTAATTCACGGTGAGATAGACTTGCTCACTTAAGGCTTTAACCCCTTTCCAAACCAACAACTATCTTAATCCAGCTGTGCTTGCTCATAAATGAAAGTCATGCTCATTTCAGACTTATACTCCACTGAGCTCTGCATTTGGTACATAGCAGTGAAAAAATACGCTTGCCTACTAGTACTGAAGATGTTGTTAACAATGAGAAATCCAGCTAAAGAACAATACTCTCTCACTCCAAAAATATGTTATGCACACTTTCCCTTCCCTCACATTTTAAGCAAGAATCCACTGAATTCAATCCTCTACAAATAAGCACCATCATCACAATTTTCAATTTTGAGGAAATTACCTCTGATTTGTCATTAAAGGAAAAGTGAACAAAGACATCCTCCCACCTTAAGACCACCTCTGATCCTATCACCGTTTACTGCAAGGGTAGAAAATCAGTTAAGATCATGAAAATCCAATTTCACATATGGCATTAAGAAAATGGAAAGTTACAAAAATAATCCTCATCACACTACCGGAGGGGACATGGTGGCTTCTGTACTGTTTACTGATAGGTAAGTGATGCTGGCTCAACAGCAAGAGCGCTACACGAAGTTCTTGGATTAGAGTTTCCCCAGCTTAATTCTGGAATGGAGAAAGAAAATTTCATACAAAAAAAGTCTGTAAAAGCTACAGATGTTAACTTTTAAACACCAAAAAAAATTAATAACTGACAAAAAAAAAGAAAAAAGCAAGCAAGCTGAAGACCAGTCCAATAAAGAGACCAAATTCTGCAACTGGAAAATTTAAAGTCTACTGAGTAAATCTTTCCCAGATTCAACCAAATTCTACAATACCACATTTTTAAGTTCTCAAATCACAGAATTAAGAGCTTAAGAGCCTATAAGCTGTTAACTTTATCCTATATGACTCTCCTATTCAGAAACTGCCCCCCCCTCCCTAAAATCTGTGCAAAAGTAACTGACACACCTCACTGTATGACAACAAAGGAGATGCCCTCAACTCTTTCATGGGGCGAAAGTCACTTTTTATAACTGATAACGGAAAAGGTGCTACAAAGAGAAATAAAATTTCCAACAGTTAATTAAAAGCAAAGACTGGCTGAAATTTGTTAATTTTTAAGTAATAATAATAACCCACTCTATAATTAACTCTTCCGCAGTCAACGACCTGCTATCCACTCCATGATGAGGAATAACCCTAGCTCGCCACAGTGGGAACCGGCTGCAACTGCACGGCCAGGGTTCTGCCCTTTCCTAGTTCTCTGTGCACAAGGTGCTGCCACCTACTCCAAGGCAGTTAGACAGACAGGGGCGCTTTCTCTCACTGACCTGCTAACTCAACAGAACGAGGTTCACTTGACGGAGCTCTGGCCACCAACATGTATCTGTGCATAATTTTATGAAGTATCTATATGCCACTCACTAGATTAAAAAAAAAAATGGAATAGAAAACTCTGGACCAAGTAAGTTACAAACTCAAAAAGTTAGAAGGGAAACCAATTACATTAACAACACTTTCTTTAAAAAATAGAATCACTTTCTTTTGAAATCAACCACAGTGGTGAGACGTGTTTTTCTTTTCAGGTGTCCCATGATGGCACACAGCTGTACCCGGCAAATCCTGCCAGCTTCCAAGTCCCGGGATGCTGACCTGCACCAGTGCGTGGGGCAGCGTTGCCTCCCGACAGTGTGGAGAAGAGCACATGTCACCACTGGGCGATGAGAGAGCTGACAGAGACTCTTGGCTTCTCAACGCCAGACATGGTTGTGGAGAGCTTTCCTTGTTCTATTAGAAAAGTTCATGAGGAAGCTGTGAATAGGATCAGTCCAGAGAAGTAAAACTCTTTTATTTTCACTGTCCAAACATCAGTCAATGTACTGGGAGAGCCAGCGGAAGCCCTCACCATAGCCTTGCCTCTTGAGCACACTGCACATGAACACTTCCATGGGGCGAGCATTCAGTTCCTTCAGAGTCACATTTCCCTAAGAGAGACAAAAACCAAGAAAAGCTGTTAACACTTTCATGAGGGAAAAGTATGAAAGGGTGATCACAAAGATCATTTTATTCATTTCTCAAAAGCAAATCTAAGCAGGGACTGATTACAAAAATGTGGTCAAGGCAATACAGATGACTTCCCCAGGGCGTCATACTTACGGGATAGAGTAAGCAGCACAGTCCTATTCCCAGCCTCTCTCTCTATGAAGAGCATTTGCTTTGAACACATCAACATTCACTGGCCAACTAATCCAGGAAGCCAAGAAAAAGGCCATGGGGACTCAAGAACCAGCATCGTCTTTGATGGACACAAGAAGTCTGGGACTTTTTAGGACATTCAGAAATACATGCTATTAACAGATTACACTGAAGAAATTAAGAATTCATGGGTGTATAACACTCATGAAGAACAGGGGAAACTAAACAAATTAAAGGAAGCATTTCTGGAAAGAGATAACCAATAGGCAACACTAAGGAACCATGTAAAAAAGTTGTTTTAAAACGTATGAATTCCCTTCATTCTATGTCCCCTGAAGATTTTTCTCTTACCTTTCCTGTGGTCTGTCCATAAAGTCCAAAAATTTCACGGAGTCTTTCTTCACTGATTGCATCTGATCTGTCAATTTTGTTACCCAAGATAAGGATTGGCACATTGGATATTGTTTCGTCAGTCATTAAAGCCTGAAGACAAGATTTAAAAAAAAAAAGCAAGAAATCTATAAAATCCCACCAGATAATGAAAATCACTTTGACTTTCACTCGTCTATAAGGTTATCAAATGTAAAGTGAAAATCTAATCATCTCTATACCTGACTTATTAACTCAAAGTTTAATCCTGAAATTATATATAACATTCTTAATACTAGATAAAAAGCCCGTAAATACACCTTTACATTAGGCAAAAATCCCCCAGTGGCCTCAAAATGATGGCAACTGAAGGCTGTGTCTATTCTACAAGGCAGCAAAACTGGCCCAAATTTACTTTTGAACTAAGTCACTCAGTTATAGAACATTCTCAGGCTATCCACTGCACACAGTCCTAGAAACATGAATGTTTGGGCTACAGAGTCTCAAAAATGACTAAGGGAACTCCTCAAGTATTCACTGAGTGCCCAATGTGTGCAAAATGCTACCTCATGTACTAACAGGGATATAGAAGTAAGGGCAAAACACACCCCTAGCTCAAGAAATCCTCACTCTATGTTCAAACATCTATCAACAAAGCAAGGCATGTGGATGATTAAGTGTCGCAATGAACTGGGACAAAATATATATACTAAAAGGCAATCGGAGGAATAAAATGTCAATGTGGGCTTGAGGAAAGTCTTAGCAAAGATGCAGAACCAAAACTGAGCTCTGAAGGAGGGACAGGATTTGGATAGACAGAAGAATATAAGCAATGGCTTTACAGTAGGAAAAGAATTCAGGAAGCTGCATGGAGCATCACCTGGCTGGGTTAACGCATCTATGTTGACATGCAGTGACCGAGTAAATGGGATAGCAAGGGATGGCCAACGTTATGGTGCCAGTTTGAGAGGTTAGCTGCAATAGACCCCCAGGACTCCAAATCCAAAAGTTAAAGAAGAGAATCTATATACCTTTAGTACAATGAATTCACAAATAGTATCTATCTGTGATGCTCAGGGAAGAGATGATGATCTAGCCTAAGGTGGCAGCATATAATGAACAGTGCAGCAGCCAATTTTGTAGTAAAGAAGCAAAGAGACTGAAGTTTTAATTAGAAGACAAACAAAAGAGGAATCAAAGCTGGCCGAGATTTCAAGTCCACATGAATCAGTTCTGATACCAATTCCAATGTGAGGGGAGGTTTCCCAGGCAACGAGCAATTCTTGGGATAGCAGCTGCCTATCCAACTCAATTCTGACACTATCTACCTGGAAAGAAACATCAAATTCCACAGGTGAAGGATCAGTCCTAGAAGACTCCCAGCTCCTCTACAGATGCCAGGAATAAGTCCGGGCTATCACCTGTATTTCTGACCAACTAGGTGTAAATCAGAGGTTCCCATAACCCCCTCCTTGGGTTTAATTTGCCAGAATGATTCACAGAACTCAGAGAACTATTACTTACTTGAGTGATGGTTTACTATAAAAGGCTCTAACTCAGGCAACAGCCAGATGAAAGAGGTGCACAGAGCAAAGTGTGAGAAAAGGACCTGAAGCATGCGCACACCCCACTCTCCCCGAATCTCCATGTGGTCACCAACCCAGAAACTCTCTGAATGCTGTCTTCTGCATTTTTATAGAGGCTTTATTACATAGTCATGATTGATTAAATCCTTGGCCACTGGTAACTGATTCAACCTCCAGCCCTGCTCTCCTCCCTGGGGGTCAGGAGATGGGGCTGAAAGTGCAACCTCTACGTGGTTGGTTCTCCTAGCAAGCAGCCCTCATCCCTTTTGTCATTAACATAACAAAAGACACCTATAGGGCTTCCCTCACTTAGGAAATTCCAGGAACTGTGTAACTGGAACCATGGATGAAAACCAACCATGTATGAGAAATAAATTTTGATCATCCAAATTACCAAATATGTCCTCCTTATAAATCGCAATATTGTCCTGGACATCTAGTGCTCACTAACAAGAAAAGCTAGGAAAAGAGAATAGAGTTGAACAAATAAAGGGAAACATGCGTCGACCATCTAAAGTTCCAGAAAATGACAAAATCAGAGTAAGGAAGTCATTCATTCATATTAACTAAGTGCCTACTATGTGTCTGATATTCTGCTAGGTATAAAACTTTCCCAAAGAAATAAGACAAGGTCCCTTCTAGTTAAATTCACAATCTGGCGGGAGAGACCTATAAAAAATAAACAACAAAGACAACAAACACTGGTAAGATGGAGAGTCTTAACAATGTGCGAGGTAATAGAAGCATTCCTAGAAGTGATCATACCTGAACTCTAAGATCTCTTAAAGGATATTTTGAAATTTACAAGCAAAAGAAGGTAGGGGGTCAGGTGAGAAAGCCAGGCAAGGATAGCCACTTCTGCACATTCACAAAAGGGTAAATTGTTCTCTGTTTGAAATGTAGTTCAAGGCAAGCAACAGAAAAGAAGTTGGAGAAATAAACAGAGGCATTCTCATGAAAGAGCTTATGTGCTATGCAGATTTATGGACTTTATCCCGAAGATTATAGAAGTCTATTAACAAATATTAAGTAAGGCAATGACAAGTGTGGCAGGGTGCTGGTGGAACCTACAGTAAGTCACAGGGATCTTGGCTGCATGTCCAGGTAGATGGTGGGGAAGATCAATAGTTCCAGTCTGGGAGAACAGAACTGGTAGGTGGAGTTGTCTAACAGGCAGCATTACGCATGAGGCTGAAGCTCAAAAGAGGCATAGACAAAAAATATCCATTTGGGAGTCACTGACATGTGGGTGGCAGATTGAGGAACAGAAGTAGCCTGGACCAGCCTAGAAGAAAGTATAGACCCTGGAGGGGTGTGGGGAGGAGACAAGATGTAAGGGCTAAGCAGAGGAAAAGATACTTATGAAAGAATCTGAGAAGTATTAGCCAGAGAGAGAAAACACCAAACCCAAGAATACAAAGAGAAGTTTAAAGAAAGAGGGAATTGCCCTGACAGTGTGGCTCAGTTGGGTGGGTGCTGTCCCACAAAGTGAAAGACTGCAAGGTCTATTCCCAGTCGGGGCAAATGCCTGGGTTGTGGGTTCAGTCCCCAGTTGGGGCGTGTACAAAACGCAACCGATCGATGTCTCTCTCTCACATTGATGTTTCTCCCTCTCTTTTCTCTCTCCCTAAAAATAAGTAAATAAGATCTTTTAAAAAAGAGAGAATGGCCACTGCCAAGGAGTCAAGTAAGGGAAGGACTACCCTGTAGGTAATTCTACATGAGACAGACTTCAAGAAACATATGTATAGATAAACTTGAGACATGTTCAAACTGCCAGGATCAAGAATGCAAAGAGATAGTTATAAATCAAAGAGAAAGAAGAGACATAGGGTGAAGCAGTAAAAATAACAAAGGTAACAGTAGAGAAATTGTCAAGCCAAGAAAATGCAATGTGGAAAATGGTGAAAACTTGAAGTGAGCCCTGATAGGATCAAACCCTGCACATAGGCAAAACTCTTAAGGTCTGGCAAGTCATTCAGTCCAAGAGTGGAAAGACACAAATGTAAAGAACACTAACCTCTTCCAAGGTTTCACCCAACCATATGTGATATGTAAAAGGGAAAGACATTAATTATGCTGAGACAACAGGCATAAACTGAGGACTGTCCTTAGCAAACTGGACATAGACTCACCCTATGATAGATATAAACAACATTAATTTATTTAAGTTCAAGCTGAGTTTCCTTAGGACACTGAAAAGCAATGTTGTAGATTTTAAAAGTTTCTTCCCTAACTAGGACCTTTATCAAATGTTAACTAGAATGATGCAGCATTGGCACCACTGAGCTGTATTCCTTAAAACAAATACAAGCCAAGGATGGAAAAAAATATAAACATACATTAAGTTCGGCTTTGGATTCCATGAGGCGTGGATGATCTGCACAGTCCACCAGAAAGACGATCCCATTAATTGCTGGGAGATAATTTTTCCAAACCCGACGTGCTGAAAAAACAAAGTTCAAAACTGCATCAATAAAAAAAATACACATTTTAAAAATAAATAACCTGGTCTATTAAATAGTTAAATCTTAGCCAGGGTTCAATAGCATTAAACTCTATATGATTTTCTAACTCCTAGCCATTATTAAGTCAGAACAGAAGGCATAAACTAATGGTCCATGAACTGAATGATTTTTTAAAACTCGAGTACTAGGGGTTTTGGCCTGCTTTTCTCGAAAACTGCAACATGTGACAGTCCCAAGCCTACCTACCTACATGCCCCTTTGGATGAAGTCTGGGCTGTTCAGTTTCAACCACTCCCCACTGTCTTACACCCAATTTCACTCACTTAGATCAGCTTCCTCACCCCTGGAGCCATTTTAGATTGTGACACCTGGATTAAAATATCATGATGCAAATTACTTGTCCATAAAACTTTAGTCCAAAGTTAGTTTCTAACTAACTGATGTATAAATGTACTGACATACTCATCCATTCGGCCCTCAGGGAGACTGAGCTGACAGGGGAAGTTCCCAAGCCAATCACCTTGGTCTCCCATATTCAATCCAGTGTGCCCTATAAATCTTATTTTTGTGTCTATGACATAAAATGTTAATGGTTTAGGAAGCAATGCTTTAAATTGTATTATAACCACTAAGCCATTCATTTCTAGTTCTTTCAATGGGATGACTAAGGAACCATCTCTACATCAAACAGTTAACGGTTAACCTCTGAAACTTTCACTTTTACTTTCTATATTTATATGCTGATTGTACTGTGAATTTGTTACAGTGAGTCCACACTACTTTTCTAAGTTAAATTTTTAAAGTTTTATACACACACACACACACACACACACGTATATAAAAGGAAATTTCCAAATGTACAGTATTTTAGTAACTTCTACATAATAGTGGCTAGGTTACTATGAAAAACTGTTTCTGTTAAGTAAATTTTCCTCACTCTAACAAAACTATGTACATAAACACATTTCCCTTCTTACTCTATCAAAACCTGAAAGCAGAATCATCACACCAAATAAGACACAATTCCTAGTTCAGGTGCCTAGAAATAGCTACTGCTCTGCATTGACCAAATGGTCTCAGTTCAGCTTATGACTGTATTTCCTCTGAACTTAAATTTGTAAGCAGTTATAAATCTTCTTGAAAGAAGCAGAGAAGACAGCATACACCCTTTCCTACCCAAATGAAAATAGTAAGATTATAGGAACTAAAAAAGAACAAGATAATCTATAATCCTCTATCAAAACATACATTGCTAATGGTTTTATATATTTTTTTGGAAATTTTTTTCTGTACAGGCATTTTATACAATCATACTACATATGATTTTGTAGCATATAAACATTAACAAAATAAAATAAATGTAATTATGCTAATGAAATGACTGACTATAAAATTATTTGGAGTGCTTCTGGCCTTTTGGCTAATATTTTTTCGCTGAATGATTAAAAGTACCAAAATTTTATTTTTTAACTAAACTTTTAAAAAGCTTTATTAGAGTCTACCTAACATAATGCTCCAATAGGAAACTTTTCAACTTACTTTAATAACAAATGAGTAAATTTGAAAGAATCTCCACTGGCTCGCTCTTCTACCTTCCCAGAATATTTATTCCCACATCTTAAATGTTTTACTCCTAAGCACAGAGTCTTGCCAAATGAAAAGCGAGTGTGTATCATATAAAGACGCCTCATTCTGTGTATCTTTAAAACACATACAAGACACTTGATGGGGATCTGGCAACCAAACAGACACAGCCTGAGAAGGCAAAATGCACTGAGAACAAGAAGCTAAAAGACAAATGCTCCAGCCCTCACTGGTGTGGCTCAGTGGATTGAGTGCCGGCCTGTGAACCAAAGGTCGCGGGGTTCCATTCCCAGTCAAGGCACATGCCAGGCCAAGTCCCCAGTAGGGGGCATGTTGAGAAGCAACCACACACTGATGTCTTTCTCTCTCTCTTTCTCCCTCCTTTCCCTTCTCTCTAAAAATAAATAAAATCTTTAAAAGAAAATGTCCCACAAACTGACCCAAAATGAATAAAGTATATAAAATATCAATTTAGATCAGAGTGATCACAAGTAGTCATTGTATTCTTTTTTACAATTTTTGAGGAGCTTGAAGTTACATACAAATAATACCTAATTTCTTATATACCTACACTCCATTGAAAAAAGGATACAAAGAGACATGGCTAAATTTAATGTGATACTATACTGGATCATCTTTAAAAAGAAAAATGCTACAAAGATTATTGGGACAACTGACCAAAAACAAACAAACAAACAAACAAACAAAAAAAAACAAAACAGGACTATACACTATAAAGTAGATAAAAATAAAACTTCCTGGGTGTGATAACTAGTAAGATTATATAAAGGAATATTGTCGTTCTTAGGAAATATGCATTAAATATTAAGGAACAGAAGAGAATGATGAACTCACAAATAGTCCAAGAAAAAAAATAGTAATATGTATTATATAAAAAGTGAGACTAATAAATCTGGACAAAAGGTATAAAGAAATAGTATTCTCTATTATTTATGAAACTTTTGAAAATTTGAAAATTAAAATAAGTGAATAAACCAACTTCATTAAATAATATTGTAATCCTAAATGCAAGCAATTTAAAAGGTAAAAATGATACACTGCTTTAAAAAAAAAAAAAAAAAAAAAGGAGTACAAAATGAACCATAAGTCAATACCATCCTTCCACTGAAGGATGAATCATTTCTTACCTTGCTCGTGCCCACCAAGATCAAAAGTTGTAAAAGTCATTCCAGCAATTGTCAGCTCTTCTGATGCTGAAAAATTATCAATAGTGAGGAAAGAAATAAACTTCTCCCTCCAAACAAGGCCCAGCTACGAATATTACAAGCCAGTACAAATGCAAAATTTAATAAAGCTTTCATCTTGTAAAGAAAATACAAGTGTGAAAACATTCTAAAATTATTTTTAAAAGCCAAGTTTTTCTCTAATTTGCTGCTACTTAGAAGTAGTTATCAGAGATGTGTCCCATTACAACACTAGTGAGAACAGAGAGTGACAAAGTTCCGGGGCTTTAGATTTATGAGTACGTGACCTGAGAGTGTACCATAGGGAATTTTTTTTCAAGTGAGTTGTCTTTTGGGATCTCAATTAGGAAAAGAACTACATCAACCGGGGATTCATCCTCCAACCTTGACACTGACGTTTAGATATCAAAAGATCACCTGGCATATTCAAACCTACTCGGATGTAATGTTGGAACATGTTGGCCCAATCTGTCATCTTTGAGCATGTGTAGAAGAGTGGTTTTGCCTGCATTATCCAAACCCAAGAATACAAGTTTTCCAGATTTCTTGTAGAGTCCTAAAAGAGAAAAAATTTTTAACATAATTTTCCTCTATATATATCAAAGGCTGCTTATATTCAAACTGTTGGAGGAAATACAGAAAGTTTGAAACCTATGATGTATTTCAAGGAAATTGGCTTTACCTAGGAACTGGAGCACACTGCTGAAGCCATTGTAGATCCACTCAAAGATGAAAGACATTATTAATGCTTACTACCTGTATAAAATATGAAAGCAGCAAACATTAGCTTTCTGAACGCTATACAGTTCTGGAGAAATTAACCCTTAATTCCCTGACCCCGATGCATGTTTACAGTCCCATGCTTTTGGGCATGGGAGAACACCCAGAAGGGAAGTCTCTGGGGTCTTTGATCTGCAGGAACTCCTGATTTTCTAACAGTTTTCAACCTACGATTCCCAGAGGACTAGGAATTGAAGCTATACTGTCCTCTTTTACTGTGTGACTCACTCCTGCAGGAAGATGCTCATTCCCATTCCCTAGATACAGCACTGCTGTCCACCCGTTAACAAGACCTCTAGGAAATCAGTCCCATCTATTATCTGTATCAAAATTTCACATCAATTCATTAAGGAGAAAATAAGAATGAAAAAAAGGCATATTAACGGGAATGAAAAGCCATAGAGCAGTTAACCCATCCTTGTAAACTGCTCTAAAAAACATAGTCAAAATTTGCCCTGCTGCATTTATCAACACTTGCTCTTTTTTTGTTTTTTTAGTCTTGTTTTCATTTTCTTTTTCCTATCTCTTCTTAAACAATATTTGTTTAGTCCCTCTTGCAGGTATGTCTCAACTTATAAGAGAGATGATATCACTATTTTGGAAAGCCATGAAGCAGTAATAACACTTTTGTAATGTGAATAATCAGGATCTAACCACTTTAAAAATACAGATTTTCTTAAAATAACAATACCCATTCAGGACATTGTGGTAGGTTCCCAGCCAGGTACATACCTTAATTAGTGCTGATATTGACATCTACTGTTTCCCATAGGCCTAGATAAAACCAAAGATGATCCAAAGCTACAGAAAGGTCTATATACATTGGCAATAAGCAAGAGGGACCTCTGAATGAAGTTAAGAGAGGAGGATCTAGAGCCAATGGTAGGTGTTAATATTTCTAAAAGGCAGCACTTTCTGGTCACACTGAACTTTTGCCTCAGTATTACAGATTTGGTACCAAAAAAACAGATCACCCATCTTCACTTCTGTCCATCATCTATGGCATCTGAACACCAGGCTTTATACTAGATGTGACCAGCTGCTTTCAAATAACTTTTCATGACATTTTGTTTTTTTGAGAAAAGTAAATAAATGTTGAGTTGTGTTACTTTTACTAGTAACTTGTAAAAGGGTCATCCATAAAAACCTACCTAGCCCTGGCTGGTGTGGCTCAGTTCGTTGGACAATCATCCCATACACTGAAAGGTCGTAGATTCGATTCCAGATCAGGGAACGTAACATACCTAGGTTGTGGGTTTGATCGCTGGTCAGGGTGCTGGTCAGGGTGCGTAGGAGAGGCAAACAAAGGATGTTCCTCTCGGTTTTTCTTTCTCCACCCCGCCCCTTCACCTATCTCTAAAATCAGTAAGCACATCCTCAGGTGAGGATTAGGGGAAGAAAAAAAAAAAAGCCTACCTATATTCTTCATTCAAAGAATGCTGAATGAAGAATAAACTGGAAAATGAAGACAATGTATGTTAATTTTCTTTTTCATCCAATTACTGTCATTTTTTTTTTTTAAATCAGGCCTGTGGCCTCACCTATAAACTTTAGAGACTACTTAAGTCTTATTCTCCATGGCTCTTAGCGTGAAGGGCAAGATGAAGGGTGGGGGTTTGAGTGAGGGTGGAGGCTGACAGAAAAAGCTTTTATAAGAAGATAAGGTTGTATTCCTTTTAGTAACATTTAAATACACTTTGGCAGAAAGAACAAATTTAGCATGTTAAATAGCAGTTTTGTCTGGAAACCTGTCCTGTACTTTAAGAAGTCCAGTGACTTGCATACACTTACAAAGTTCCTGTGCTTAACTTCCCACTAAAAGAACAATGTGCCACTCCTCTGCAATCCCCAATCATCCTTCCCTACTTTTTCCAGTCTACCACTTAGAGAAGTGCAGATGACCTTTAGAAAAGGCTGCTCCTTTAGGTCACTTCCACTCTGATAACTCCTTTAAAACCCAACACTTGCATTCATCTGCATGACCCTGGTTTGCAGGCAGCACTTTATAGACTCTGTAAAGTTTTAGCACATCATTTTGGAAGTGTTCCCAACAAGACGAATTCTCAGAAGGTGACAAGAGGAAAGCCCCATTTTAAGGAGTTTTTCATGGTCAATGAACTACTTTTATTCTCCAATTTATTTTCCCTTGACATAACCTGCTTTATTTAAAGGTCCTATAATTCTCCCCGTCAGAAAGATCTATGGAGGGTGCCTGAAAAAACCGTTCAGATGATGTTAAAGAAACAATGAAAACTCTCATTGGACACAAAGAGTTCTGTCGCATTGCTACCCTAATTTCATGGCACTTCCATCCTTGAGATCTTAAGATTTGTACCCCTTTGTTGGTAGTTTTACAGTTTATGCAGTGCCTGCACATACACCTCATTTCAAGCTCACACCAACCTTACCAGGCAGGAAGTAATGAGAATGCTCACAGTTCTCAGTTAGCTGGCTTAACAAAGACTGCTCAGCTGAGAAAGTAACAGTGCCAGAACTCAACCTTCCTCTTCTAGTGCCAAAGCCACAGCTCTTCCTATTAATATCACATAAAATTCAAATCAAAATCACAAAACTTCTTTTTAAAAATCATAAAACTTTCTTAACACACCAATTACACTCATGATAATCTTCTAAAGTTTTCTTCCTTACAATGCATCGCACATCTTGAATGGTATTTTAACAACTAGCATTCTACTTATAATATTTTCTATCTCTGATCCACTCTACCACCTCAGGGCATCTTACAACAAATTAGAGTACTCTAAAATTTAAGGGCTCTGAACAACCAACAAAAGCACTGTCAAAGTACCCAAAACTAAAATTTGCAAATTTCACGACTGATTGATTAAATAAATAAACAGGAAAAGCTGTAGGCTAACCATTAGCCAATAAAGAATCTATACATCACTTCTTACACATACTCAGAGCAAGGCAGCTGGCTTTTTGCAAAGAAACCTAATTAATTGCAGGGTATATGTCAAACGCCAGACCTATTGCAAAGTTCCATAAGCCCTCAGTCACAACCTAAACAGATGGGAGCAAAGTAAAGAAGAAAAGACAAGTCCTAGAGAGAATACTAACAAGACAATTTGGTGCCGACGCTCACAAGTGTGCTCCTGACCGCTAGGCTAGAATTGTGAAGTAAACATTAATCTATACTAAACAAACATGAAGAAATTTTCCATGAACTGAAAACACAGTGGAGATTAAAAGCGGGAAGTGGAACGAGAAAATATGGGGTTCAACCAAGGACACAGGATAACAGAACTCAAGTGGAGGAGAGGGGGCGGATGGAATCGCGGCGTGGAGCCTGGGACTAGGAGGCAGGAGAATTTGTTTCAACGCTCACACGTGCTATCTCTGGGGCCTTGTACAATTCCCTGCGCCTCGGAGAGCCCTAGTCCCCGAGTTTGTAAAACAAGGATAATCACGAAGGTCTCTCACCAGCCTCACCGAGGGCTGTAACGCAAGGCTCATTTGAGACAGAGAAGGTGAAGCCTTTTAGTAAACCAGAGCGCACAATACAGACAAGAAAACTGTTATCCCGCCAAGTAGCTGCAAGACATCCGAACGGAATGCAGATCGACCCGATACCCCAGAGGCAGGCAAGAGACTGAGCAGACCCGGACGAGTCAGCCCATCCCCGCCCAGAACCAGTCCCGCGGCCCCACAGAACCGCCTGCGTGTCACTTCCCCCACCCCCAACCCCGCCTGCGCCGGCCTTCGCCCCGAACCTTCTGTCATCCGCCCCAGCCTGTCCGACCCCGGCTCTCGCCTTTGCCGCACCTGCCCGACTTACAGCCCAACTGGCTCCTCCGGCAGCAGCAGGCGGCTTCGACCCTCCTCTGAACGCACAGCAGCCCAGCAGCACCCGGGAACGCCAGCTACTCGCCGGATATACGTAACATCCCTCCCCCGGGACTTCCGGCGCGTGCTTGCCCCCGCCCATTCGTAGCGTCACGGCGCTCTGCCACCGCGGGGCGCCCTACCAGCGACCGAGGCCGCGGAGGGGCGGGCTTCAGGCGTGACAGGGGCGCTCCGGGGCGGGTCCGACCTGGCCACACCCCCTCCCTTACGGATTGTTAGACGCGAGATACGTGGCAGTGAGGCGACCGAGAGGGTGGAGGCAGTATGCTGGGGTCTTGGCGTGGACCAAGATGCTCGGGATCGCAGCTTCAAATCCTACTGCTTTCCCAGGCGCAAGAAGATTATTGCAAGGGGCGACCGACAATTACGTAAATTCTCGGAAAGAAAACTTGACCTGAGAGCCCTTGACCTAAGGCGGATCCCTGCAAGCTTTTGCTTTAAGTCGTAATGCCCTGTGATAGCCTGTTTTTTAGAAGAACAGCTAATATTCTTTGAAAACTTATGTTCCAGACAGTGCACTGAGTACGTGGAATGCCTCATTTCATATGACCCTCGTTACGGTCCTGTGAAGCAAATACGGTTATTATCCCCAGTTTACAAATGAGAGGACCGAAGTAACCAAGCCCAGGATCACACGCTAGGGAGCGGCAAAGCAACGCGTTGACTCTACTATCTTGTCCTTCACCTGCATTTTCTCGTTTAATTGTATAAGGTAATAACTAATAATCTCATAAATCATACGTCCATTTTATCAATAAGAAAACTGAGTCAAATGGAAAGATGAATGATATTTTTTGGGTAGGAAGATTCAATATCACAAAGATCTCAATTCTCTATAAGTAAAATTATAAATGTAATATAATTCTTATAAAAGTACTAATAGGGTTAATAGTTTATATGAGTGTTTTTTAAACCACCCTATTTGTTTCTAAAATTCAAATGGAAAAATAATAACGCTAGTCAGGAAACAAGCTCTGAGAGTAGATCAAGGAGGCAGGAACTAGCACTATCAAATAGTAAAACATTATAGATTCTCAGTGATTAAAACAGTTTGGTACTAGTGCACAAAAATCCAAACAAACAAATGAAACAAAGTACAGGAATAGGCCCAAAAACATGTAGAAATAAAATTAAAGTGGCACCTGGCAACTCCAGCAATACTTAGAGGAGGCAAGCTCACCACCATCTCTAATTTCATCCTGTGGGTCTTCTACATTGATTTTGAAGCCTCCCAGATACAGAAAAGGATCAGTCCATGTTCTGAGACTTCTCACCAGCTTTGGCTAATCCAGGGGAAATTTGTCAATAGAGCTTGGAACCCCAAAGTGTATATCCTGAGACACAGGGCTGCCTCAGTACAAGACAATGTATTAGATTACTGGCCCTGATAGAAGTTTGGCTACAAGAGGAGAAGGGTTCTCAAACCCTGAGAACAGTTCGGGGTGGAGGAGTCTTGGGAGGAAGGAGGGAGCACACAGCTGGATTCTCAGGAGATCCACAAACTACTTACCAGCTAGGGAGCCTTGGGCAAGTTGACAAGTGCCCCCCACCCACAGTGTACCCACCTCTAAGACGGGTGAAAGAGGTATTGTTGTTCATGTTAGCAATTTTTCTAGAGTATGTTTTCAATAAATGTTTTAATTATGTGCTTCAAATAAATAATAAAAGGGTTGGAATAACTGGGTAGTCAAAAAAACCTAAGAGGGGCCCCAGCCCGGTAGCTCAGTTGTGTAAAGCACTGTCTCAAATGCCAAGGTTAAAGGTTCCATCCTCCATCAAGGTACATAGAAGAATCAACCAATGAATGCATAAATAAGTTGAACAACAAATCAGTGTTTCTCTCTCATCTCCTCTCCTTCTCTCTAAAATCAATTTAAAAATAAAATAAAAAACCTGAAAGGTGAACTTATAAGTTACATACCACACCAAGTAAGTACAAAATGATTCAAAGATTTGTATATTTTGAAATGGCACTATAAAAGTACTAGAAAAATATAAGAAAGTATGGGTGAATTCCATATAATCTTGGAACAAAGAAGACCTTCCTGGGTTGTTTTTTTTCCCTCAAAATATTCTTGCCTTGACCATTGTGGCTCAGTTGGTTGGATGTCATCCCGCAAAGCAAAAGGGCAAAGGGAAAGGTTGCCAGTTCAATTCCCAACCAGAGCACATACATGGGTTGCAGGTTCGTCCCCAGTCAGGGCATGGTCCAGAGGCAACTGATTGATATTTATTACATTGATGTTTCTCTCTCTCTCTCCTTCCCTTCCCGCTCTTAAAAATAAATAAATAAAATCTTTAAAATATATATTCTGGTCTGTAGTTATTCTACTGAACTACACATAGAGGCTAATAATTCTTTTTTTAAAAATCCTCACCTGAGAATACATTCACTGATTCTAGAGCAAGAGGAAGGGGAAAGGAGAGAGACAGAGAAACATCAGTGCAAGAGAGAAACATCATTTGGCTGCCCCCTCAAGTCCTGCACGTGCCCCACTCACCACCCGACCAGGGCTTGAACCCAAAACCTAAGC